AGTCAGAGTGGGGCGCGCGCGGAGCATAAGGCATGGATTTGGGTACAGGACAGCGTCGCTTCTTTACAGAGCACGTCAAAGAGATGGCCGCGGTACCGTACCGCAAGGTCTTAGGTATGCTCATGTACGCGGCAATGGGAACAAGGCCCGACATCGCACACTCTCTGTCTGTGCTAGGACAGTTTGCAGCAAACCCCGGCAGGGCGCACTGGGCAGCGCTGAAGAGGGTTTGTCGCTACTTGAAAGGATCTCCCCTTATGCTCCAATATGGAAATGTCTCAGTTCACCCAGACATCAGCAACCGTTTCGGACATAAGGAGGACATTGGCCGCCCACTAGTTGTTGGGTACACCGATGCAGACTTTGCTAATGAACCAGACTGCAAGTCGTTTTCAGCTTACGCCTTCCTGATGGCAGGGGCCGCTGTATCCTGGGCATGTCGCAAACAGACTACAACAGTTCTATCGACAACAGAGGCTGAATGTGTCGCCGCTGCACTAGCATGCCGTGAAGCGCTTTGGATACGACACCTTCTTTCTCAATTCCAGACACCGCCGTCCCTCCCTCTACTGGCCGACAATCAAGGCACCATCAAGTTGGCTCACAACGCCGAATTCCATGCTCGCACCAAACATATCAACATCAAGCACCACTTCATCCGGGAGTGTATCAAGGAGAAGTTGATCATCCTCGCGTACGTGCGCACCGAGGACATGGCGGCCGACTGCCTTAGCAAGTCTCTCAAGCCCAGCACCGCCCAGTTGCGCGCCGTCGCCCAACTAGGCCTTACTAAGCAAGTTTAGATTCAAATCCGTACATTCGTGTCACCTCCGTTCGTCCAATCCCCGTCGCAATTGTACTCAAAACTTCCCGCTCTCACGTTCTCCCACGCTCCAAACGATCGAGCGAAGGGGGGTGTCAGGTGCCACGTGGCACGCGCGCCGCACGCGCATATATCATAGCTCGCACATGTAGTCGACACCTGCTTCCTACACACCACGATCAATGATATCGCTCTCATTCGGGTGCAGAGCGACCAACTTCCAACGTCGACGCTCAAGATTCGAGAGTCGGACAATCGTGACTCGCGATCGATATTTTTGCGACGGTTGCGGCTGCTTTTTGTGCTGGTGGTGAGTGTGCCGAGGACAGCTAGGCGCTCAAGCGGTGTGCTATCTGCCGATATTTACGATTGTATTCAAGATCAATGCTCACTCAACGGTTGACTGCAACCAAGTAATGATTATGACTCGTGGGTCAAGCTGTGTATGGTTCGTCGAGATAGGCATGCAGGCGCCTGCTCCCTGCTGGGTCGAGGCGACAGAGGTCGCGTGACCGCGCCACGCTTTATCGCTCGTGTGGCTTGTTTACCCGTCATGCACACACACACCCCATCACGAGATCCACGCATCAAAGGCAAAGTCACAATCGAGGCGCAGGCAGCGCGACGCAGGCTGTATGTACGTAGTGCGGCATGCCTATTCACATTCGTGATTGTGATTCAAGATTCACAAATCCAACGATATCACTTCCACACGGCGTTCCTGTGCTTCCTCTCCGGCCAACTCCTCTCAAGACGTCTCGCGCACACGCAAAAAGCTCGCTCTGAGAGGTTGACCTTGACTGCAAGCATGAACAAAGGGCCAGTGTCCCTCTTCAGGCGGCGGCGCGCTCTGGCGAAGGCATTGACAGTGGTAGCATCGATCATCACCCTCTCTGCCCGCGCAGCACAGCTTCCATTCTCGGCTCTCCCTTCCGAGACTCGCGCAGACCCGACGCTCTTCCATTCGGGGGACGAGCCTGCATCTAAGTTGCGCCATGCCTTGCTCCGCATTTCAGCATCAGCTCATCTAGTGCATGACCTGGCACGGATAGCGGAGCAAGATGCCGGTTTGGACGTCTGGAACTCCTCAAAGAGTGCTTGCAAGTCAGCTCATTCCCAAGATACGAGTGGTGCGCTGCAGGGCTGCATTGACCTAAGGCTCGTCACACATGGAGAAGAAGATCCATGCGAGATGGCAGCCTCGATGCTCCAGCTACGAGATTTCACCAAGTCAGAGGAAGAACGAAGTGTTCGATGTCGCATCCTCAGCAGAGATCTAAGCGAGCCATTCTCCGCACAAATTCCCGCACTCAAGGCAGCTGCGAACCAGACGCAGTCGGTAGAGTTTCCAGAGGGATGGCTCGAGGAGTACCACGTAGTCGAGGAGTGAGTTGGCGACCTCAGTCGCGAAAGATCTCTTCTGCAATGGCACTGACCACCACCCCATCTTCACGCTCGCTGCCAGCATCGATGCGCATTTGGATCATCTCGCCGAGAAGTATCCGAGTCACGTACACCTACGCCAGCTTGGACAAACTTGGGAAGGCCGAAGGATACGCAGCGTGACCATTCACTCGGGCGAGATAGGAAATGGCGTCAAGGAGTCCGAAGGCAGACGAGTTTCGCAGTCCATCTTTGGAAACTCTCTGAGATGGGACCGCAAGGAATATGAGCAGGCCAGTATGAGTGCGGGAAGGAAGCGCAAAGTGAGACAGCAACGACCGCTGGAGCCGCATGCGGTGGTCAAACCACGAGTGGTTGTAGTGGCCGGTGCGCACGCCAGAGAGGTCAGTGAGAGTGAGAGTTGTGATGGGCCCGCCGAATACTCACCATGTGTAAAGTCTCTTGCGCTCTGCAGTGGATCGCACCTGCAGTGTCTCTGCAGCTCATCCATAGTCTGCTCGAGACTCTGTCCAATGCTCCCGAAAGCGCTTTGGCTTCGGAGCTCCCTCTCCGCAGGCGAAGGCACCGGTCCTTGCTAGAGACGTTTGATCTCGTCTTCGTACCTCTACTCAATCCTGACGGGTATGCGCACACCTGGAGCGGCATCGGCGCTGTGAACGAACGAGATCCGTCATCTCTCACTACGATGCTCGACGCTCGTCTTTGGCGCAAAAACAGGCAGCGCACCAGGGGTTCTGTCATTGGGTGTCAAGGCATCGATATCGGCAGAGGATTTGTGAGCGAGGCTCGGGAGTCGGTAGTCTTGCATTCCGTTGTAGTGGCTCATGCACCATCTCTTTGCTAGCCCGCGCACTTCGCCTCATCCTACAATCCCTGCTCGGAGTCTTACTCCGGGTCGGAGCCGCTTGCTGCCAACGAGACCATCGCACTCGCCTCTCTATTGCGCCCGGCCACAGAATCAGACGACGGAAAGGTGGTCGCCTTCGTAGAGTGAGTGTAGTCCCTCCTCGGCGGCATTGCGACTACTGGGCGCATCGACTGAAAGTACGCCTCGTTCTGCTGCAGCCTGCATTCCTATGGCCAACAGCTCACACACCCTCCTGCTTGGTCGTGCGACGCTCCGAATCGAGACGAGGAGGATTTGGAAGAGCTGAGCATCGGAGCAGCCAGTGCTGCGCGTCGTGTGCATGGGCGGACGTGGTGGAGCGGCAGAACATGCGATGTAAGTTCGCTCTTCGTGCCAGAGCCTGCAAGGAATTGGCGCGTGGCGAGTAGGCCTGATCGAATGCCGTGTCTCCCAGACACTCTATGCAAGCACGGGTCAGGCAGTCGACTTTGCGTACGATAGCGGTATCAAGTGGTGTGAGTGAAGACCTTCTCGAAGTGCATGCACCCCACGCTTTCTCGCCAAAATTGACCGATACTGCGCTCCTTTAGCCTTCAACCTGGAGCTGCGCGACGAAGGCGAGCACGGATTGTGAGTCATCGCTTACTCTGTCGCAGTCAAGCGCTGGTCTACCGTTTCTGACGCTACTTGGCTCCCTTTACCGTGTGGAAGCTTGCTGCCTGCCACGCAAATCTTGCCGTCTGCCCAGGAAGCCGAGGCTGCCCTGGGCTACATCTTGCACTTCGTTGCAGCGAAATTACGTGGCAAGGCGCCTGGAAGAGGGGGCAAGCACTAAGCTCTCGCCTCCAGATGTCGATCTGTATCACTTTATCATATTATGCAGTTACCAATCTAGCCAGCCGCGCGAGTGCGAGGAACTTCCTTTCGCGAGCGGTGACCTATGCTGTTGAGCATCACACGTTGCATCGTCTTTCATGGGTGCCATCTCAGTGGGTAGACATCAAATGCGGTCAAGCCGTGACAATACAGCGAGCGAAGAATGAGGTCATGAACGTCACAACGTCTAAATTGCCCTGCAGGTTCAGGATCCGGATCAAGCGACATCAAGTAGACGTCGACCAACACCAGCCAGCCTACTTCTGGGCGATTTGACGCCGTCGGCATCGTCCTGATTGGGTTTGGTGCTCTGCTCCTCGTAGAAAGAGTATCCAGTGCCTGGCTGGTCGTAATCGTCGTCGGCATATCCATTTCCCTTGTTCTGGTTCGATCCGATGGGTAGACCTGTTCGCACGTCGCACTCTCTGCCTTGATGGTCAATGTAGGTGCTCGTCGTGTGCACATTGGCTTCGCGATATGCTCTGCAAGACGCGACGAGGAGCGGAGAGCACATCAGCGTCGCTTTCAGCTACTCCCTTCTACTCCCTCGTCCTCTGCCCGAGCTCGCAAACAGGTAAAGCGATCGCTACTACTCACTCCATGATGATGCTTTCTATCTGTTTGAGATAGGCGGCGATCTCCTGCATAAATCTTGCGGTCTGCAGGAATTTTGAAGAAGCGCAGATAGATATAGCGTCATCCTTGATGATGTATCCAAGGCCAAAGCCGTCAGGTGCGACAGGTCCGAATCCGAACAATCTCAAAGCTGGATTGCCGCAATTGGAAGTCGAGATGATGGTATGACCCAAAGTGGCGTAGCCTGCATCTTGAAAGATGGCAGGTATGCTGTTGAACTCGGCAGAGCCCTGCGCGACCAGATTCTTGACCAAGCAGTTCATGGCGTACAAATGCCTATCGTGTCCCAAACCCATTGCGCAATTCTTGGAAAGCTTTGCATGCCCTGCGCAAGCTGTGCGGAGCTTCTCCAGCTTCGCCTTGTTCTTGACGCTGCTGTCGTCAAACGCGGTGACAAAGTCTGCAGTGTACGGCTGCACTGTGCGAATAGCTTCTGTTCGACCGTGAAAGAACGCTTTGGTCATGGCAGGCTCGTACGTCGTCTCGGATCTGCCGTACAGCTTGTAGTAAGCTGCCTGAAAGGACATTTGCACGAACGCATCTGGCGAGAACTTGTGTCTCGTGATAAAGTTCTTGCCCCAATCGTTGAATTCTAGGACTTGCACGTCGTGCTGATGGATCAAGTCGCTCAGTCGAGTCTCTCCGAAGCGGATAGCAGCGCTGACGGGAGGAGACAGATTCCATTCGAGCTTCTTGGGTGCAGTGTCTGTCTCTACTGCCAAGTCTTTCTGCTTATCCGCTGCCTTGCCCACGCCGCCAGCGCCCTTGGCGTGAGGACTGGTCTTTGCTTGGAAGAGCGACTTTGTAGCACTGTTGATGGATTTAGCAAAGCGCATGATCAGCTCCGTGTAGATGTCGGCCACGAAGCGAAGCACCGTGTGGCCATCGGCAGCGCTATGCTCGAAATTAATACCGGCTGCGCCATTCTTGCAGACGATGATTTGCAGCTTGTCGTACCAGCGATTGGAGCAGGTTCCGACCTGAACACCCTCATCCAGCTGAATCGTTCCCGAGAGCATGTTGGAGCAAAGCTGCGCCGGATCCTGAGGCTCGCTGTCGTCCATGCAGACGACAAATAGCGCACTGTCCACTACTTCCAAGCACTTTGCGTTATGAGGATGCTCCTTCAAGATACCGCGCACCCCAGCCCACGTCTTGCGCTTCTCAGTGGTGAGAATGCCGAGAGCGCCCTTGGCAACATCTCGCGGAGCTGTCTGATCCGCATCCTTGCAGATTGCTCGCAAGTTGCTGAGAAGCGCTCGCTCCGTCAGCAAAGGTCTGTGGTCTTCATCCAGGGCTTCGAACCTGTGGCACGGCAATACAAAGCAGATCAAGGCTTGGCGAGTGAGCATCTCTTCAGAGCGCAGCTGCTTGCAAGCGCAGAGGCAGTGCTCACCAGTAGATCTGACCACGACGCATGACGACGACATGCCTAGACTCGGGCGAGTGCTCCAGCCTGCACCCATTCTCTGTGGGAATGCGCGTGGTGCCGAACAACTTTGGATACTGCGACATGCAAAGGGGAGCTGCAAGCAGCGTGCCACGTCAGCTTTGGTCTTGCTGAAAGGTGAGGTGCGCCGACTCACTGCCGCGAACATTGTCTGGCTCTAACACGCCATGCCTGAGGTCGTGAATGAAACACAAGCTGGCGAGGGTCAAGCTCGCAGCTCTCATGAGCTGGTTGCCGCGCGAAGGCGTGGGATCATCCTCCAAGATGAAGAATGGATTGAGGTTGAGCACCACGGACTCTGAAGCGGTCAAGTAGCTTTCGTCCCAAAATTCTTCGATGTAGGACGGTCGCGCGCTGGCGTACCTTTGCAGCTCGGAATGAAGCTTGGGACCCTCATTTGACAGGAACCCATGCACCACTCTTGTCGTCTGCTCGTGCTCCTCCTTGGACTGTGCAGAGGAGAGCGGGGGAAGCTGAGCTGAGACGAACGATGAACAAGCTCAACGGAGAGAGCGCGCGCGGCGCCATTTGCTCACCTGCAAAGCCTCGAGACTGTCCAGATACCTCTTGCACGTATCCTCCAGCTTCGGAAAGGGCAATTTGGGCAAGTCGACCTGCTTCTCAAATGTCTTGCCACCATCTTTGGCTTCCTGCTCACCCCTGCCCAATCCTGCAATGACCGAGATCTGCGTGTTCTTCGTTGCTCTCTTGCCGCTCTGCGATGCCGAACCGCCTGGAGCATCTTGAGCAGACGGCCTCTGAGCAGTGGGCGGAGCAGCAGGGGACTGCTCCACTGGCTGAGTCGCCGACGGCGACATGCTTCTCCTGCTACAGCCCGGAGGGAATGCAGTGAACGGCTGGACGTGTGTAGAAGCGAAGTGTGATTCACCTCTCGCTGTGATCGGACGTGCGAAAGGGTGGTGGGCAGGATGAGATCAGATGAGAGCTCGATGCGTGATGTTTGGCCTGGACAGAGACGATGGAGGAGACAAGCACCAGCAAGAGAGGGTCGCTGGGCCGGGCTTTCTTAAGCGATGTGCTGCAGCGTTTGCCGTGATGCCATGCAAGTGTGGAGAGGTGTGTGGGTGAATTCCCGCCGCGGCCCACCTTGAATGGAGGCAAGGCAGGAGGATCAGGGTCGTCGCATCTTCTTGGCATCGACCGCCGGCGAATTGGGTCGCACCTCCACAGCCACGACCATCACCACGCAATCGTGAATCCAGTCCACATTCCAGAATTGTAAACCACAAATGTGGGGGCCTCGCAGATATCCGGCAGCAGCAGCAGCAGCATCCATCCAGCTATAGGACGCCTGGACGCACCAAAATCAAAGCATGAAAAGTGGAGCGAGCCATGCATGCAGTCAAAATGCAGCCAGCCAGCCAGTCGCGCCCTCCGGAAGTGTCGGATCTCGCTCCCGGCCTATCCACTTCTGACTCGTCTTGCGTTGCGCGCATTTGCAGACTTGCGCCGCCGCGACAAGCCTATAGATGTAGCCCCTGCTAGCCAGGGCATGCCCGTGTACTCGAGCAGGCACAAGCCGGACTTGTCCGCGGCACTGTCCGGCACTCAGAAGACGGGCCTCCAGCACTCTTCATGAATAATCACGAATCTGTCTTCACGCAAGGGAGACAGAGCTTATCAAGTCTCGCACACAGAGGTCATGCCGTACAACGTTCGTACTTGGAGCACCTGCCAGCGTGGGGGGCGGCACGCAGCAGTCATCACAGCAACTTGGCGTGTGGATGATCGTCTCGCCCTAAAACCACACACACACTGGACGAGGATGCTCTCCTCCGAAATAGTGCTTCTGTCTCACTATGCTGAGCGAGATTACGCGTGAATTGTTGCTTGGAGTCGAGATCCTACGAGGTGCTCGGGACGGGTTCAAAACAAAAAGGAATGAATAGAAAGATACGGGGATAGTCGTGAAACGATGACTGTACAAGTCGTGGGGGCTAGGCCTTGTTCCGCGTCGAGAGCCTGTCCCTGGTCTTCGCGCAGAAGGTGGGATGCGTTGCGATGTCAAGCCTTGAATGCCGAATGACACTAGTCGACGCGCGCAATGAGCTTTGTGGCCTTGATGGCATGGGGGTGTGTCGTCATCCTGCGGCCATTTGAGGCGCGAATGCAAAATAACAGTCAAGTTCTACAAGAGGCCGCAGGATCTCAGGTTGACTTGAATGATAATGTCGTTGACTGCGCTCAGGACGAATTTGATCTGGTTGGTGTCCGTAGCGCAAGTGAAGTGGGAGTAGACAGTCTTGGCTTCGCTTTGGTTGAGGCTGACGAAGCGATTCAAGATGTACTCGCATGCTGCCTTGTAGTCAGACCCACCGGTATAGTCGGAGAAGTAGTCGGACATTGGCGATATGGGAAGCTTTTGCTGGAACAAGTCGATCTTGTTCAAGAAGAGGATGATGCTCGTCCGCACGAACCACCTCGAGTTGCAGATGCTGTCGAAAAGTGTCAAAGCTTCTTGCATGCGATTCTTTCAGGGGGCGTAGATGAAAGGGTGGCACGTCGTTAGCTTTAGCAACCACACCCTTCCAGACCGACTCGGGGGTGCCACTTACCACGTTTTGGTCTTCATACAGCAGCTGGTCGTACTCCGAGATGGCAACCAAGAAAATAATGGCGGTGACGTTCTCGAAGCAGTGAATCCACTTCTTACGCTCTGACCTCTGACCTCCGACATCAAAGAGTTTGTAGTTCAGCTCGCCGATCTGGAAGTGGGTTTCCGTGATGCCGGTAGTCTTGACACGCGACCTCAACACGTCTTGATCTGTGGGCAAGTAGTTCGGCTGAGCCATCCTTTCCACGGAGTCAAAGTAGCTGTTTACCAACATCACAGTCAGCTCTCGTAACACTTTGCCGACTGCGGAGGTGGTCTTCCTGACTGAAGCAGCACTCACTATTGAGCTGAATCATTCAACTGGTACTCGCGAGAACGTTGGAAGCACGCCTGCACTCCGGGGTCTCGCCAGAGGCCAAATACAGCATCCGCCACATGGTTCGGAAGGCTGTCTGCGTCGATTTGGGCAGGCAAGCTAAGGATGATCTCGGCTCGCTTCGCATTGTTTCCCTCTGCTAGGGGGATGTCCAAGTTTTCCATAGCATCGAGAATGACTCGCATGGACTGCAGCAGATTGCTAAAGATGATCTCTTTGTATGCGTCCCTTTCGTCTCTCGAGTAGCTTCCATGATTGCTGATGGTACACACATCAACGAAATGGTCAGCGAAGACTCTACAGCAGATCCAGCAGCCGCACTCACATGAGTTTCATTTGCTTCAAAATCGTCGATTTCCCAGACTCTCCAGCTCCCAGCAGCAACATTTCTAGGCAAGGTGACACGAGGCGGAATCAGTCAGAGCTCCTTCGCAAGAGCCTTACCAACGCCGAGATCCGAGTCGCGTCCCATCTTGCGAAGTCAGAGCGGTCCACAGCCTCAGGTAGCGCTAGCTAGCACCGTGAGACCTGGCCAGCGACCAGCGCATTGTTCGGCGAACATCAAAGAGCATCCCATGCGTTTCCCCGAAGCACTTACTGATCTCATTCTTCTGGGCTTGCCGCTCCCTCCTCAATTCCTCTTCAATCTGCTGATTACGCAGCTGACCCTCACGGTCCTGCTTCGACTGTAGACAAACAAATTTGGCGCGGGAGGGAAGGCAAGGGCCGCCCGTGTTGAATGGCGCGTCAGCAAACTCGTCCACAGGTTCCTGGACGGGACTTCGGCGACAAGGAACCCAGAAATCATACGCACAGGTCCGCATCCCATGCTGAACCTTGTCAGGTGGGGAGAGTAGGTTGAAAATGCGCGAACGTGATCCTACAGGAGCTATGCCTAGCGCTCCTTGACAAAAACAGCGGTGCAAGCAATGAGCAGCAGCTCTCCTCCAAAAGATTGGTTGGTCTGAGGATTGGGCTAGAAGCCGGGCGTGCTGATGATGAAAGCCGCTTCACGAATTGGCGACTGGTTGTGAGCAGAAGTATGTGCACCAGACGCAGGCAAAGCTGGTGCGACGGGAGTTGGGAGACGTGAAGTATCGACGAAGCTGAACAGGGCGGTTGCCTCGGGATTCAGGGGCAGGCCGGATAGATCTCGAAACGATTCAAGGTAGGTGGTGGCAGCGCAGAAGTCAATGTGGCAGATGAAGGTGGGCGGGAGGAAGTGCTGGAAGCTGATGCTGTGCTGACGTATAGCAAGCGAGTATCATTTAGCAAAACTGAGAATCAGAATCACTGTGAATGAATTGCCAAATGATTCACAGATTGTATGTAGTTCCTGCCGTAACAGCAAGTTGCGGGAGCGGCTGTGGACCGTCGGTACACAATGGCAGACCACACTGCACCCAGAAGGTTCGCTCACAGCTGCGGGCGTGCTTCATCAGCTGCAGCTTTGATCCTTACTGCCCAAGGCGCCCCTGGCGAGAGGAGGTGGGCAGAAGTTCCAAGGCTTTTTGGTGGGCCCCAGCGTTGCAGTGCGCGCAGCCACCTGCATGCACTGGCGCAGCAGGAGCGTAAGGCGGCTTGATTGGGCGGCTGTTGTACTCAAGACTGTATGGGACGAAAACTGCACGAGGGGCGGTTTGACCTATCCGGGGCCGGTCGCTGCCATGCATAATTCCCACTAAGGACTAGCGCACTCGCGAATTATAAAAATCGTTCACTCCCGCTAAACGTCACGACGCGCTGCAATATTCAAAATGAGGGGCCATGCGCGCGGTGTATCCGAAAAAGCAAGGAGTTGAGTGGCGGCGCGCGAGGTATGTACTGAATTCAATTCAATCTGGGATTATCCTAATTGGTAGCAAACCGAGTGCAGTCTAACGGTGTTGTCGATTCGAGCAGTCAAGCAGGACTAGAGTTCAAATAAATCAGCAGCCATTCGTCCATTCTTGCTCAACTTCAGCCCTGCTGTTGCTGCGCATGGTCGATAGCTCGATCGCTAATTTAATTGGCCGCCCGCATCGGCGCATTCGTGCATAGCTGGCCGCCCTCGCTCGGCAGTTCGAGCTGGCTGCATGCTGGCTGGTGATGGAGCATATGCTGTGCGCAGCATGCAGCAACCATCAGCAGCATGATAGCCAAGTCGTTCGCCCGAAGGCACGCTCACAGCAACAACTACCCTAACCCCATGTAGGGCAATCAGCATCTCCAACACCTTCAATAACCTTTCCAACTCCACTTTCGACGACCGAGCATAGCGTTGCCCTCCGACATTTGTTCATGGTGCATTCGCGATAACGAATGTAGATTACGATTCAAGGATGGCAGATTTCGAGGGGCTGGCATTTTGCTGCCGCACAAATGAGGGTCGTAGTGTTTGGACACGACCCAAGGTCACGATCGAGTTTGATGAGGGTGACTTCTTCTGGTGTGCAAGTAGTGGTGCATCCATCTTTTTCACGCACTTCCGAGTGGCTGAGTCGGAGCGCGTGGTCGAGGTTCTCAAAGGACAAAGGTGCGCATATGAAGCTGCGGGGTTTGAACTCTGCTACGGGCGCAATACATGGGACCTCATCATACCACAGCAGCTGCGGTTGTCCGATTCGTGATTGGAATCCTGCAGTGAATCAGCGAGTTTCGCTCTTTCCTTCGATGGTCGCAGGCAAATCCATCCAGTCTTTGCCGCCACACTGACCACTGCGCCTTATACATTTTTACCGCCAGGTTTTCAACTTGAATGGACGAGTCCTGCGCGAACGGTTTCGGACGACAGGGCTGGAGCGAAAGTTCCAAGTGCGACGTGAAAGGCAGGTCGACCATTTACAGGCCACACAGCGCGAGAGCTCCTTTGACCACTTTGCATTGCAGACTTCCTTGCAAGCACTTGCCACCGCATGCAACTAGCGATGAGCCATGTGCTAAACATACACTTGTGAGTGGAGTGCACTTGATGAAGGCGAGGGGCTTGCGCCAAGATGGCGCCCGCCTCACTGATGGAAACCGGTTGGCTCATGATAGACCTTTAGCCAAGAGTACCGTTTGTTGAGGCAGTGGGCAACTGTCAACTCACGACTGGCGCTTAGCTGCTGGCATTGTTCCTATATGGCCCCAAGCTCGTTCAGATGTCCGGCGCCTTGAAGGGCATGTAAAGCTGAGTGAGCAGCTCCAAATGAGCGTTTCACTCGCATTGCGCCCGGAAAGTTGGGTGTGACTGATGTTCATGTAGTAATATTAAGCTAGCGCGGCCCCCAGTATGTAGGTTAAAATCGACAATTCAGGGAGGGCTTGTGGGGGGGCTAACTTCCAGCCGGGTTCCCGGGTGCTCAGAATGCTCAGCGCGAGCCGAACATCACCACGATATTGTTGTGTAACTCAACGCTGTTTTTGTTTTGCGTGTTTGCGTGTGATGCTTGGTCATTTGTCTTGCTCCATTCATGATTGCGAGTCAGGCATATCTCGATCATGAATCGTGATTGACAAACCTTGCCCTCGAACGAGCTGCATCGGTCGTCGGTCATTTTGAATCGTAAATCGTGAAGCATCACCGTTGGCCACTGCATGCGTGCTTGACTCATGACTGACCTATGACTGCAATGGTGACTCACCGTCCGTCTCACGACAGAGGTATACCTTAGCTGAGACTCGGGCCTAACAGAGCCCCACTGTGGCTACGCTCGCTCTTTTGCTGATTTGGAAAATGTGTGTGTACCTACAGTGTAAACCGCCGGTATACTTCTCCATCGAGTAGCCGCGGCATAGGTTGCCGTGCCCGTCGACCCGCGGATAAAGTCGTGGCGCTCTTTCAATCACCGATCAACAATGCCTGGCTGTCAAGCTTTCCCATCACGATCGAGGAGACACAGGCAGCTCATACTATTACGACTTTGAGCCTTGGGTCAGAGGATGGGAAGCACATGAAAGGGTAGGTTAGCCCCCTTTTCCGCCCAAGTCTGCTGGTGCAAGGCGGCCTAGCTGATGTACGTTCGACAAGCAAGACGCCGCGCGACGTCCCAATGCGTAAGTTCAGGCAACACTCTTGACTCGATCTTGAAACTATCATTCTCTCCTTATTAAGTCCATCGCGGCGACGATTGAGTACTTCGATGAAAATGTCTCGACTCGAAGGTTAAGCCGTTCAAATTTGCGATTCCAATTGTTGGAAATGGATGGACTGATCTCGACCTCGCAGCCCGATTTTTATCTGCGCATCAGGTGATTCAATTGGCAGCAACGGTGCCGGCAATCAGCCAATTAGGTAAAGCTGAGACCAACCAACCGTCTTTCAAGGACTTGGTCCTTGACTTTTACACCTTCGATCACCAACGTAGCCTCCACTCGTTGCAGATCTGGCGAATGCACGTCATGTCAAGTCAAGCACTCAAGGCACGACTCACCATTCGTGATTCATGATTTACGACATGGATGTCTGTCTGTCAAACAGGAGCACATCACGGCCAGATCGCGCGAGCGGTGGCACGTGCCCCGCCTGCTTTCGAAGCACGTAATTAAGCAGCATCAGCGCGTGTGCACGTCACGCGCCGAGAGCTCACCTTAGCGCGCATCGAATTGCACGAGCACGCGGTATCAGGCAGAAATTGATCAAGAGTTCGGCTCTCCATTCACGAGATGAGGAGGGTGGACTTCAAGAATTTGCTGTACACCGGCAACAACGTCCAAATGCGCTGGCAAACGCTGATCAGCCGGGTCGACGACACCTGTTACATACAAGTAAAGTATCATAGGGACCTCTAAGCATATTCCCCGATTGGCGTTAGGCATCCGCATCATCGTAGAGAAAAGCGGGGAAGTCAAGCCTCTGGTTCGACAGCAAGCCATTGGGTTCGTGCCTGCATCGTCGAAAGCCTTTGGCAGCCCGCTTGCCCGTTTGCGGCTAAGGCGGCGAGTTCCGAGCGAGGTGCACCGCAAGGCGAGACGAGGCACATGAGGCACATCAACCGCGATTATCACCAATGCGAAGGCACGAGGCTCGTCAGCGACAACTTTCAGTGCTGATTTGGGAGTGGCCAGATGGCGACACCCAACTCTCCGGAGCTGAGGGGCTGCTGCATGCACATTTACCACGACCGCAGGCCGCATGCATGATCGATGGAAGCAGCGGCTGGCTGGGCTCCTTCCGCAGCTAAATGGGCTGGGCGGCGGGCCAGCCAATTCCCAGCTCAAGCGGAAAGGCTTGATTCGTGAATTGCTGCCGTCGTGTGGGGCCTGCGGTAGAGCGCCTTCTACAGAGTGGTAGGCCCGAGCCGCCTGAGGCGAAGGCCGAGCCTCGAGCTGCATCCGACTTTAGAAAGGATCTCACGGTGCGTTTTCAAGTGCCGGACCATCGAGTCTAGATCACACGCGCTCGGCGAGTGTAGCTCTGATCGCCTCACGGATCGTTGGAGCGCCATGCACGCGAGCAGGCGTCTGGCTCCCTGCCTTGCCTCTCTTGAAGATTTCAGCGCGAGGTTCAGAGCTGTGTTCGCCTTCGACACGAAAGCGGACCGAGGGTCTCAAACCAGCTCCGCTCTGTTGGCTGCATCCGAAGGTTCGCTCGTCAGAGATGAGAGGCGGCTTCTTCTGCTGAACCTCGTCCAGGAGACGAGCGCTGCAACACGCGTGCAGACACGGCGACTGTAGTGATGCCATGCGCTTGCCAAGAGATGTCCGGTGCAGGACCGACTCACGACTCGTACAGCCCATGACTGCCAGTTTTGTTGGAGGGATCCCGTCTCATCTCCTTTATGTCCCGTCCATGCTTCCTTTCTTGTGTATCCAATCTTCCCTCTCAGTACATAGCGCGTCTGTTCCCGATCACCTATCGGTCAAAGATCCCATCCCTGTCAGACCTCTCCGCGTGCCAAGTCTGACCTGCTCTTTGACTCTCCCAAAGCGCATTCCGGTGCACGCCTTGGCTCGCTCGCCCAGCATGATGCTCGCTTCCTCTCAGCAGCAGACGTCTGGCTCCAACAAACGAGGCTTCCTCGGCGGCCTGAGGCTTAAGTCCTCCCGCAGAACCCGCAGCGATGCGATTCCGCCCTCGGTGGAGAACGCAACCGCTCGCTTTGGTACCTCTCGCGATGAGCAGCACTCGCGCGGCTTCGATCACGCGGCCGGCTTCGACCACTCCTTCGACAAGCGCTCCAGTGATGCGCCCACCTTCAGCAGCACTAGCTCTCGCCAGACTCTGACAGAGCTCAACGCAGCGGCTTCGAGCGCAGCACACGCCCAAGAGGCAGCACGTGCAGGGCTCTACGACACAAGGCCGCATCCTACGGCTGCTTCCATTGCTAGGATGCCTCATAGTGCCAGCCGACCCACGATGAGCCGCACCCTTGCATCCGATAGCGCAGTGCCTTCTACCTCTCTGGCGATGGCCGACTCTGGCTTCCACGAGAGCAAGAAGGCTGACGCTGCGAAAGGCGTCAACAAGGATAGCAAGGATTCAAAGACTCCAAAACCTCCCAGAGGCACCCTCAACTCTGCGCAAAAGCTTGCCTATCTAGACTGGCGCTTGGAGAACATTCGAGTGGAGCAGGACAAGCAAGACACATCCACGAGCTCGCGACGCGCGGGCGGCGCTGGTGAGACATCAACCAAAGCGCATATCGCTGCCGCTGCGATCGAGCAAACGGAGTATCTGGACGATGCTCCAGCCACAGAGACGTCTTTCCCGCCTGGCGTGTCCATCGCTTCACAGCAACGTTCTAGACGTGCTTCTGCCAATCTTCTCGATGGTATTCCGATGTCGATCGACCCACAACGCAAGCCCACCATTCGCATTCAAGGAAGGCCATCAACTGCCGAGGTACTTGGAAGCACGACCGCGAAAGCTCCTGGACAATTTAGTCGACTCCCATCTTCTCAGACACAATCCAGCATGGCGGGTAGCCAAGTGCCAGGTCTCACGCGCAGTAGAAGCCAACGCGAAACACCGTTGGCTACGCCAAGCAGCTTTAGCGGAACACCTGGCGGTGTGAAGCGGTCTGGAAGCGTGCTTGGCCGGCTCAATATCTTTGGCAAAGCACGAACGCCAGCCGATCCTTCCATGAACAGCCTCAGTCTGGCCACATCTCCCAATTCCGAATTCTCCAATGGCGGTGGATTCTTTGGACAGCAGAACAAGTTTCTGCACGGCGGCGCATCCGTGTCTCGACACGGCTCCACAGAGGAGGGACAGGAAGTCCTGGCTGATGGCGTTAGCCCCAAAGCAGAGCATTTCCCTACACATGGAGGTTACATTGCAGAGGATCAATCTCGAAGAATGCTGCGCGAAGCTCCTCCTCGTCCTGTATCTCGCGCTGGCAGGCCTGTCTCACGAAGCGGCCACCGGGAGTCCGCAAAAGGCGACGTAGGTCGCTGGACGAAGATTGCCGTCGTCGCCATGGGAGGATTTGCACCTCAATATGCCTCGGATGATGACGACGAGTAGGCAGGGACTGTCTGCGACCCAGACTTCCTCTTGTTGACAAAGGTAAGCGTCACGAAGACGCGCCCCGCCACGTTGCTATCAGCCGTACTTCAGGCACGCCGTCACCCCGGTGCCATATACCCCTGCTCATGTTTTGCTGTTTGTCCGTTCACCTAACTTCTGTCTTCGATGCTCTCGTATTGGGGCACGTCCCACCACACTCGTTTCCCCACGCTGTCTCCGTTTCGCACGCTGTCATCACCTCCAGTCCCAATCTGTCGACGTCGTTTATGCTGGCTTCTCGAGTGTAAATCTTAAAGTGCCAAAGTTCAGGTGTTATGAATGAGGCAGAGAGCCATTGAGTGGTTAGCATGTTCGCAATCGGTCTCATAAAGCCGAGCTGAGCGGTGGTACCGCAGTGAGCCAGTATGAGTCACCCTCGCCTTCAGGTCAGCTCGGTGTGGCGAGATCATGCTGCTTTGAGCCTCGTATATGGCTCGTTGTGGTCATAAGCGCTCATCAGCGCGTCATGGGTCACCGCGTTCACGGTGCCCTGGGAGTCGCACATGAGTCACAAAGATGAGAGTGGTGTGAGTCCAGCGCCATTAGAGTATGTTGACACCAACTTGCACTCGTGACTGTCATACGACGTGAAGGCACTCGCTGTCAATCACTCGAATGTCAATCAATCTTCACTTGACTTCCACGTCCGTTAAGTGATAAAATGGCGCCGGCATCTCTTGACCGGCTGCTCCGGGTCAACTCGAAGAGGTTTGTTTGCCTGTGGTACACCGTATTTCGATTGAAATCACAATCGTGAATGGTGCGGATTTCCTTATCTCGACCTCAGCTGCAGGCCCTTATCGCCCATCAGCACCAAAACCACTTGCTTGGCTCGCCCCGTGCCCTCCTTTGTTGGTCTGCATGCAGAGCGTGATCTGCTGCTGCACCCTTGCGGAGCGCGCAGCGTGTGCCACACCCCGCGCGCCCGCGAATTGCAGGGGCACGGTGACGGTGTGCGAGAAGGCAGACGATGAGCTTGTCGACCCTGACCAAGGCATGGCTGGCACACAGCGTCAGTCGTGATTGAGAAGTTCCTGTCCACCAACGCCCCCAGTCACGAACCGACGCGCAGACAGCACCATCAAGATAGTTGACATGTTCACACCGATTAGAACTTACCTTGAATCATACTTGCCAGAGTAGACGAGCCTTTCCCCGAAATTCCGTCGTGCATGACAAGCCGCAAGCCAGCCTAGCACAACTCTAGCTCACAGAACACCGTCATTACTGCGCTCAAGACTTCCGCCGTCGCAGCGCGCACACACTTCAGCCCGACCTCCTCCACCACACACGACACGGGCACTACAAGTACTGCATAATCGACCCTCACACTTTGCTCCTTCTATTCAGAACACGCAGCAGATCCCATGATGACAGGACTAGTTCACTTTCGGTGATCCGCACTCCAGCAAGCTACACCATCCTGCGCGACACGCTTCTCGAGGTCTCCGTTGCGCGTTTGCCATCTTCTCGATACCCTGACACGAGTGCACACCCTATCAAATCTGATTAGGGGTTCTGCTGGCGCCTTCTACGGGTACAGGGAGCATTGTCATAACACGATGAAGAAAAAGGTGAGTCGAGCACGTGAACAGCCTACGATGGATGTCAGCCATATCACACCCGGTGGACTTGCAGGAGCGGCGGCAGCTCGGAGGTTCGGGTCTCTGATGGTCTCGTTGCTCTTAGAGTAAGAGGTTACCCGCTGCGCACTGACGCAATCCGCTTGACGCTCTCAGATACTTCTGATGGGCCGGTCAGGCTCTGGGAAAACGTCCATGAGGTCGCTGGTGTTGTGAGTGGAAATCCTGGCACAAGCTTCTTAGTGCCAGGTGACTTCAACTCACATTAAAACCTCTATGCATCCATAGCTCCTCCTACCGACCTTCGGACACTCGGAGGTTAGGTTCTACCTTGGACGTCGAGCACTCTCATGTCCGCTTTCTCGGCAACCTGTCCCTCAATTTGTGGGACTGTGGCGGTCAGCAAGCGTACATGGATTCATACTTGGAGAGCCAACGCCATCAGGTGTTCTCGTCTGTAGGTGTCTTGATCTACGTCTTCGATCTTGTCGGTGGTGACGATCCCGATGGAAGTGAGGAGTGGGACAAAGACGTTCGATACTACAAGTGAGTCCGGTTGGAGACACTTCAATTCCCACTCAGGATATGTGCGCTCGTCACTGCTCCACATCGCCATGAGCCTCCAAGAATTCCTTCTCAAATCGACCTCGCTTCACTATCCGCTCTAGGGACTGTCTCGCTGCCTTGAAGGTGCATAGCCCTACCGCGAAGGTGTTCTGCTTGCTACATAAGATGGACCTAGTTGACGCCACGCGGAGGAAGAGCGTTTACGCGTCAAGAGTTAACGAATTGAGACGGAAGAGCGAGGACATTGCGATTTCGCCGTTCGCCACAAGTATCTGGGATGAAACGCTTTACAGGGTGAGCAGTGAGCTGATTGCGAATATGATACAAGTACGCCAGTGTCATTGACCTGGCTCCTGCTCTTGGCGAACCCCAGGCGTGGTCTCGAATCATCCACACATTGATACCACAGGTCGGTGTGCTTGAACACCATTTAGCTCATTTCGCCGATGTGAACAGCGCGGCAGAAGTCGTAGTCTTTGAGCGCAGCACCTTTCTAGTCATAAGCAGGACCAGTCGGATAGGCGAAGCTTCAGGGCAAAGCGAACGCACGACCTCCAACCTCCCAGCTTCGCCGAACCTTGATCTAGAGGGTTTTCCGGAAGATCACAATGCGGGCGGCAAGGATACACGACGGCTCAATCCCGAGAGATTCGAGAAAATCTCTGAACTCGTCAAGAGCCTCAAAGCCTCCTGCTCGTTAGTGTTGAATTCGCCGATTTCTGGGAGACTTCGGCAGTCTTGAGCATGAGAGCGCTGATTGCTGCTTTAATCTTTTCGCAGGAAATTGCAAGCAGGCTTCCAAGCTTTGGAGGTCCAAACAGAGGATTTCTCTGCGATCTTTGATGTGTTGACGCCCAACACGTACATCATGGTGGTTGTTTCGGACCCTCGGGTGGAGCTTGCTGCGGTCCGCCTGAACATACTTCAGGCGAAGGATCATTTTGAAAAGCTCCCTGCACTGAACATCGGACGCTAATCGCCCTGCAAATCATACCTCACTGGCTTCTTGGGACCGTCGATGAAGTCCCTTCGATGCACGCTCAAGCAATGCTCATCGGGCACACTCTCCTTTCCGCTTTGCGAGAATCTCTGTCCTCTCTTCTCGCGCAGAGCACATGTCTTCGCCTAGTCACTTGTATTTTTAGCCCTACAAACCTTACCAATACAATGTCCAATTGCCGCTAGCTTTCAAGGCCTGCCATCTTTTGAGGCCTCTTGAGTGGGTTTCGCCGAAGCTGAGAAAAGAAGCTCCATCAACGTCCGCATTTGCTGGGCATGAAAGTAGGATCTTGACGAATCTCACGAGGTCCAGCCTGGATGCTGAGTGCATGCAGCCGACGCGACGCCGGCGCAGCGCAGGCAACGCAAGCGTTCGCGCCAAACTAGTTCGAGAATGTTCTTATACACATGCACGTCTTTGCTCGCTGTCTTGTGCTCACTTTTCATCGCCAGCTCGAGGATCTGAAGGATTGCATCTGCCACTGAGCCAAACCACACATACCTTGATTACTCCATGTCAAGGCTCTTTTGCTCATGCTCAGCAACGAGTCCTTGTCTTCCAATCAAGAGCACCGTGCGTCAGCGCTGTCTGTGTCAGGCTGTGTGCACAACATCTCGGCTGCGTCTATTATCGACACGAAAGCCGTCGAATCCAAAGAGTCCAACGAGAGAAGTGATACGAGCTCTCACTGACGACTTTGGCCCACGGCACCGCTTCTCGATCTCTGATCGCTATTACTTCTTCCCGCTGCCGGAATGCACCAGGCACTTAAAAGGCCCCTCTCAGCTCTGGATGGCAGTTCTTCTGGAGATGCGACCTCGACAAAGCGACCTACCTTAACATCGACGCACTCCTCAAATGGCGTGGCCGACATCCCTCTGGCAACGGATGCCGAAGAGGACGAGCCCGCGTACAAAGGCCTCGAAGTGAGTCCCAGCACCATCGTCATTGCCCAACTTGCGAGCGCGTGGTGGCTGCGGTGGATGCCATATCTCACTAAAAGTCACCCTTTCCCAACTCACATTCAGGCATTTCGCAAAGAAGCGATATACAGGAGGCTGCTAGAAGCTCGCCGCGATTTGGCAAGAGCTGAGCAGCGCGCGGCCAGCCTCACACAATCGTGGGAGCATAGTCAGCGCATTGCTCAAGACTGGCAGCTGCTTTGGACTCTGGTGAGTGCACTGATTCTGTACCTCTGGAGAGCCATCCTCCTCGGCTCCGAGCCCACACTCAGCTCTGATATGCCGAGCAATTTGGTGAATTGGATGTCCAAGCGCAACGCTGATGGACGTCTCTCTCTCACGCAGCTCGTGGAGGATTTGACAAAGTTCCAGCCCAGTGCAGAGGAATGGGGGTCAGAACGAGAAGGTGAGTCCGAAGCCGCATGGAGTGTCACAGGGCGCCACTCACCAGATGAATGCGTGTTTCTCAGTGCTACTCCCACCGACCGATCACAATCAGCTGGCACCGGTGCAAGTGCGGTGCGATGCGGTTCACAGCGTCCTCAAGCGCATCGCTGCCCGCGACCCTCGAAACGGCATTGAGGCTGCTTCGATATCGTCACGAGCCGATGCTTTGGCCGCGGAGGTGCGTCGAAAGGGCAACAACATTACCTTGAATGCTTGATAAATGCTGACTTGACAGCGCCCTGACCAGAGCGCTCAGCTTAGAGTTCAATTATCTAGCGCGCTTTTGGAAGGAAAGAGACTCTCTACCCAGCTTTCCGAGCTTCAGCTGTCTCTTCAGAGAGCTGAGAAGCGGGCAGACAGACTTGCAAGCCTGTCTGTGCGCAGAGTTGAGCGTCCTAATTGGGAAGAGGAGGAGCGCAGGCGACAAGCCGCTGAGGATGCGCAAGCCAGGGCTGAAGCTGATCGCGTGGCCGCGGAGGTGAGATCGTTGCGGGGCCGGAATCTGTCATATTATGCAATGTTGACATTGCATCCCAACTCTACTTCGATATCTCAGGCTCAGCATCATCAAGACAACCAGGTGGTGCCGAACGGCTTGCCTGGCGTCATCTCTCAACACGAGCTTGACGCCGAGCGCGAAGCTCACTCTGCAGAGGTGTCAGAGGCCCTTGCTGAGGCTATGATGAGACTTGACGAAGCTGACAACCTGCGCACGGAGCTGACTTCGACCCGCGAGACTGCAGAAGAGCTGCGAGCGGAAGTGAGTCAAAGTCGTGTGCTTAAGCTGCAGCCTTTTTAACTCACGCTGTCGTCCCTTCACTTTCAGCTGGAACGAGTGCCTGATGAGCGTGTACTGGCCAGTGTTCTGTACAGGGACCTTCACTCTCACTTCACCACTGCCAGTGAAGAAGCCGAGCGGCTGGGCAAGTCACTGGCTACAGTCGAGGCCGAGAATCTCACGCTTCGCGAGCAATTACTAGATCAAAGCACTTCTTCCAATGTGAGTCGCGCATGTATTGAGCTTTCATCGAAGCAATCCTGTTGCTCAATGTACCGTACCTACAGGACGCCGCGTCCGCGCAGATTGACGAACTTCAGACCCTGCTCAAAGGCAACGAAGCTGATGTGGCTAGGCTGCGTGGACAGCGAGACGATCTGCAAGCCGAACTCACAGAGCGACGACAACGCGATGGGGTAAAGTCCTCTCAACATGAAGAGATGAAGGAGCTGCTGAACGCGCGCGAAGCCCGGATCCAGACTCTGCGATCTGAAGTGCGACGCGTGCATATGATCATCGCCGCTCGTGCTGGCGATACTGAGGCTTTCCAGAAAGCCAAAGCGCGAGAACCATCTGATGAAGATGATGTGGCGCTAATTGAGGAGCTGCAGGGGCGATTGAAGTGAGTCTGAGCCATCGCGAGACTGAATCCCAAGTGACTGACGTCACATCCATCAATGATCACCCAGGGCTGCAGAGCAAACTTCCGCGGATCTGAGACGACAACTAGAAGCACGCAGCTCCAGCACCACAGAAGAAGAGATGCTGGTCCGGGCCTCCGCTTTGCAAGGCGAACTTGACGCGTTGAGATCGCTGCTAGATGGGGCCGGCGATGGTGATGTGGTGAAGCGCAAGCTCGAAGAGCAGGAGAGAGCTACGACCTCAATCCGTCTCGAGTTGGACGCATCAAGCGAAGCCACGAAAGCGCTTTGTGACGAAGTGGACCGACTCAGCGCCGCTTTCGCAGATACCGAGAAGTTGGCTGCAAAGAACGTCCACGACGTCGCCAAGCTGGAAGACAAGATGCTGCGTCTCACAACCGAGAAGTCGAAAGCAGACAACAAATACTTCGCTGCAATGCGCGCCAAAGATGCGCTCGACAATGAGCGCAGAACGGCGCTAAGAACGGCTGAGCGACAGACCAAAGCGTTAGAGCGTTATGCGGAAGCTGAGAAGGTGCTGAGCGCTCAATTGGTGGCAGCTGAGAAAGAAGCTGCTGTGCGCAAACGAGCGATTGAGGACCAGACCACAAAGCTCATCGAGGCAGACAGAGAAGCACGTCTGCTTCGCGTGAGAGAGCAAGATGCGCTGAAAGCAAAGCAACATGCGGAGGCACGTCTTGCAGCTCTGTTTCCACAACAAGCCGAGGATGCCCGCTCAGCTGCGCGTGAGCTTGAGCAGCGACAGCGATTAGAGAGGCAATTGGAGAGAGCTCAACGCGAGAAAGCAGAAGCATTAGCAGCCGCCGCAGCTGCCGCCGCCGCCGCAACGGGCACGAACAGAGGCCGCAGGTCTTCGACAGCGGACACTGGCATGCAGGTCGACTACCTCAACGTGAGTAGCTTCTTGATCCCATCAATGTAGCCTGCATCGCACACTGACGAGTAAGTCCTTCGTCACGCGCAGTCTCTTCTTCGTTGCTCGGCTTGCAACGATCGCTACAGAAACACAATCCTTGTCAAATGCTTGCACACCTTCTGCGAAGAGTGCGTAAATGCTCGAGTCCAGACAAGACAGCGCAAATGCCCACACTGTGCGGCTGCTTTCGCAACGAGCGACGTCCAACCATTGTATCGTGAGTTGCGGCTCATGACGATCTTGTCCGTGTGTCGCTCGCCCCGAGACTGATGCAAAGCTCTTCCGACTCTTACCCAAGTGCAATAAGTGGTCGGAGCTTGCTCTTTCGCATCAGTGAATTGCGCTATTGAAATAGCATTCAAGGCTCGCCAGACGCCTGTGCCTTCACGAGAGGGCGGCACGTCAGTCGACTTCGTCGGCCTTTCGATCGCTAGCAATTTTAACGAACGGGCGCCGCAGTTCATCACACTTCGATACAAACCTTATTCCTATGCCGCATCGCTGGCCTTTACCCCTACATCTCTTTACGCTCTCGCAAGACTAGACGGCCCCTACGAGGTCCCGTCCGCCGGCCCGTATGCGCCAGACTGGAGTTCTTGTTGTAATTCTAATCTCAACCCAAACTTTCACCAGCTTCGCCCGCACTGAATAGTCGTTGCAGGTGACTCCGGCGCTGAGGCGTCCGACTCGCTTCGAATACTTCTTCTCGGCAGATCACGCAGGCCTGACTTTTGTCTGGCACTGGCCTGCCAAGACCAGCTCAACAACTGCATCTTTTTGGTGTCCTGCTGGTGTCCTGCTGCCTTCGTGATTGAGAAGTCGGCTCGAATCCTTCCTGGGTTTGGCATAGACTGATTTGTTGCGGGGAAAAAGTGACCCCGGCCGGAGTGCACCCGCAACATCATACGTTCACCCCAGCCCGAACGAGGTGATGCTGCAGTCGTGAGTGGAGCAGAGTCTTGACCGAGTGACCACCGAGCGGGGCCCCGCACGAGACGCCGTATATACACACCGCGCAAGTTCCGCCTCTCGCGCTCTGCCCGCATCTGTTCAGAAGAACAATCACAAAAGACAGTTGTGCCTGTCCATCGCTGTCGCGCTTCTGTCGCTGATATGTAGCTAGCTAGCTGTGCGAAGTGAGCAATGGGCAGGATGGTCGGTGTGAATTGACACGTGCGATGTGCTTCAAAGGCCAGCGCAGCATGCAGCTTTGCTTGACTCTTGACCACGTCCATCTCCCAAAAGTGAACAAGCGATTTGGAAAGGGTGCATGCGAACGAAAGCGTCCATCGCAGCCAATTGCTCAGAAGCTCAAGGAGTACATACGAGATGGCTCTCTTACCTGCGCAGAAGCCAGAATGGTGGAAGTCGGCTGTGGTCTATCAGATCTACCCATCCTCCTTTGCCGACTCGAATGGTGACGGGATCGGAGATCTGCGCGGCATCATCGAGAAGTTGCCTTACATCAAGTCTTTGGGAGCCGATGTGATCTGGCTCTGTCCTCATTGGGCATCTCCTGGAGTAGACAATGGCTACGATGTATCCAGCTACGAAGCCATCAATCCGCAGTTCGGAACGATGCAGGACAATGAGGATCTGCTAAGGGCGGCGCACGAACAGGGCTTGAAGGTCATGTTTGACCTCGTCGTCAACCACACCTCCGATCAACACGAGTGGTTCCAAGCTTCGCGTTCATCGCGTGATGACGACAGGTCAGATTGGTTCATCTGGAGGGACGCTATCGTGGACCCCAAAGATGGGAGCAGAAGAGAACCCAACAACTGGGCGAGCGTGTGGGGAGGCTCGGCTTGGACGTGGGACGAAAAGAGGGGGCAATACTTTTTCCACATCTTCTCTCCTCAACAGCCGGATCTGAATTGGGAGTCCGGAACGTTGAGAAACGAAGTCTACGAAATGGCAAAGAGGTGGAAAGCGCGCGGAGTGGACGGGTGGAGACTGGATGCCATCAACTTCATCAGCAAGCCACAGCGCTTGGACGCGAGCGGCAGGAGGTTGCAAGGCGATTTCCCCGATGCTCCCATCGTCGATTCGGAGGCAAAATATCAGGACGCGACGAAACTCTACGTGCATGGACCTAAAGTTCATCAGTGCCTCAAAGAGGTGCGTTTTTTTTATCGCAGCTACGGGTGTAGCACATTCTGACCTTGATGCCCACGCGAGCACACAGCTTTACAAAGAAGCTCTGGGACCAGATACGATGACCGTCGGCGAAGCGTGGGGCACAACGCCCGAGCAGAGTATCGCATACACGGCTTGGGAGACTCGAGAAGATCGAGAGCTTCAGATGGTCTTTAGCACCGAGCACGTGGGTGCGTAGAAAGTGTTGACATCTCTTTCGATCACTTCACATCGCTCCTTCTTTCGCACCCGTTGGCTTGTCTCTCACATCCGAATGTGCCTTCCTACCCTACAGACCTGTACGGTGGCCTGTCGCCAGCACCACACACAGCTCCAGACCACTCCAAGATGCGACAAACCATCGCCACTTGGCAATCTTCTCTCATTTCACACGGATCCTGGCTCTCAACTTTCGTCTCGAACCACGATCTTCCACGAGCCATTCCCAACTTCCTGGGTCCACAGGCAGAAGGGCCAGAGTGGAGAGTCAAAGCTGCTAAGCTCTTGGCCCTGTTTCAGGCTAGTCAGAGCGGCACATTGTTTGTCTACCAGGGCGAAGAGTTGGGAATGACGAATGTTCCACACGAATGGGACATTGACCAATATCGCGATCTCGTGGGTGTCTTGCTAGGGTGTGTATCCCGCAGAGCGCTACACTGACATTGCCATTGTGTGCTGTACAGCTGTCGCTGGACTTTTACAAGAATGAACTCGCCGCACGGCGCGCAAAGTTGGGCGACCCAAGCGCCAAGGTGGACATGAGCGATGTCATGGGAGGGTGAGCGATGCGACATCGGGAAAACAACGAGCTCGTCACTCTTAACAATCCTCTTTTCTCATGCTCCACCCCATGCGCAGCATTCGGCGCAAAGCGCGCGACAATTCGCGCACACCATTTCCTTGGAACGGCTCGCTTCCTACAGGTGGCTTTTCGCCCGCCAATAGTCAGACAAGACCCTGGATGCCTCTCAATCCAGACTTTGCAGAAGGCCAGGGCAACATTAATGCGGCTTCGCAGTCCAGCGACCCGAACTCCGTCCTCAACTTTTGGAAACGAGCTTTGGCTCTACGCAAAGCCAATCCCGTGCTCGTGTATGGCACCTTCAAGATGCACGAGGTAGAGCAGATTCTGCCAAAGGACGCTTCGGAAGAGGACAAGAGCAGGGCGCACAAGAGCGTCTATGCGTACGAGAGGGTGCTCGGCGACAAGAAAGCTCTCTATCTGGGCAATTGGGGTTTCGAAGAGGTGAGATTGGATCTGACGCGCGTCGAAGTTGATGAAAGTAAGGAGGCAGCGCTAGCTACCCAGAATGCCTCTGGTCATCTGCTAGGTCCCCTCGAAGCAAGACTCTACCTCCTCGAAGCGTGATGCGTATTGGGTATTCTCGACTCAAACGGCAGCGCAGATCTCACCAGGCCACGTAGACCTGTAGTATGATGGCCGCGAATTCGATCATGTTTTCGAAGCATGCACAGAGGACGGGTCTGGCATGCCTACGTTCCGTAGCCGTCTTTCACAACGCAGCGATGGGGCGCGTGAGACTTGAGGCAAGAAGCAGTGAGGGCAGTGGTAGCCGTAATATGAAGGGACTGTTGAGCGTGATCATGGCTGTCTAGCTTCCCAGCCTTCCAATGCAAGCTGCCCCCGGGTGTCGAGCGACTTTGTACCGAATTTTCCTTCCCAAGCTACGATGCCTCCTTGGAGCACAGCCACTCTCTGCGCCGTTTGCTCGTCCGTCAATCCCAATTTGTTCTGCAGCGCATCGGCGTACCATCCGGCCGAACGCACGCCCCTGCTCGTTGGCGACGAGCAAGCTTTGCAGTGGAAGACGACCAGTGGGACAGAGGAGAGGTGCAAGAGGAGGGATGGCAGCGAGAGCGGTAAAGTCTGAGCTGGCAGGTTGATTGCGGTGGGGATCAAGGACTGTGAACGTGAACAAAGACCGCCGAGTAGTATGCAGTCAGCTGAGTGCCGACTCGATACGAACACAAACGACTTCAGGTGTCACATTCGCTGCACTCACCTCGCAGTCAGATCTTCTTACGTCAATGACCAGCGCCTTTTGAGCTGCGTGTCCATGAGCCGTTTCCTGCTTTTGCAACACGTCCTTGAGCTCTTCAGCTGACACAGTACGCAAAGGATGCTCGCTTCGCGCTTTGGGAGGGGCATAAGCTTGGAACCAATCGGATCGTTGAACAGGGTGTTCCGGCGACTCCTTTGCTGCTGGCGTTCCGGCAGCTGCAGACGATTCTGCTGCGCTTTGCTCTGTACGAGCCGTGGCCGCAGTGGCAGCTTCGCCAGATCCGGCTGACGGGCTTCCGAAGGTGAACACAGTCTTGAGGCACTGGATCAGCGAACAGGGGTGGGTCAGATTTTGCGGCAAGTCACATTAAATGGAGACGTGGCCAATGTGGGCTGAAAATGAATAGCAACCGCATGACACGTACCTTTTGCTGCTCAAAAAGCTCATACCACTTTGGAGCCTCCTCGATCGACACTGTGTTCTCCACAAACGACTCGAAGCTAGATGGCTCGAAAGAGGGCAAGAAATCTATGAGTCGAAACAGGCATTCCCAAGCAATACAGAAGGGCCTCGCGCTAGGTTTCTGCGGCACTCACAGATCAGCATTCTTCTTCAGCAGCTCGAGAGCTTCCGGAAAAATGGCGCGGACTGAACAACGTCCGAATTGGAAGCGAATGTTCTGACGTCCACAAAACCAGACAGAGCGTCTTCAGCCCACGGGTGAAGCTTGCTCAGCTTCACAGCAAGGCCGACTCACCTTGTCTGACGTTGCAAGGCAAGACAAGCACATGGAAAAAGGCGAGTTCAAAGACCTGAGTACACGGACTCCAGGTGACGGTACTGAGCGCATCACTCGTGACCACACTCACTATACAGATCCAGTCCCTTCAACTTCAATTCGTGGGTGTGCAGACCGCAACTGCTGATCACTCCAAAGTTTCTGACCAGCCCAATGGCCAGATCCAGTGCAGAAGGGTTGCCGACCACTTCCAGCACCACATCTGCGCCTCTACCACCCGTCGCTTGCTTGATGCGACTCGTAACGTCGGGATCGGAAGAGTGGAGGTGTAGAGGTGTGGCTCCGTGCTTAGCTGCTTGGTCTAGCCGAGCAGGCACGCTATCGATGGCGTAGACGTGCTGCGAAGCGACGCGACGAGAGCGGTGTCAGAGCGTGATCGAGCGAACGCAATGACCGAGTCACGAGTTGCATATGACGCACGTCGAAGAAATGCTTGGCTGCTGTGACGGCGCACAAGCCCACTGGTCCGCAACCGATCACCACGGCAGTCGTGTCCTTGCGCTCCGCCTCTCCGAGCATTTTAGCTGCATTTTGAGCGACAAAGAAGCCTGCAAGAACAAGGCAAAGCGTGTCAGTCTTGAACACTATGGGTCGTCGATTGAGTGAAGATCTGGTCTTTGTTCGCGCTCACCGGTGGGAAAGATCTGATGTGTCGATATGCGTGACGATGCTCGAAGAGGTTCAGCCCGCGCTTGAAACATGCCGTCTCACAGCAATTTAGTCGCGCCATATATACGTGTCATGCCGTTGAGACATGTGCGCGCGCTATATACGCAGCAGCGCAATGAAAGCGCGTGCGCGAATACTGTGACTCGGACTCACATCGGCCATGAGGATGAGCACCTGTTCGCTGACACCAGCAGGAGCAGGAAACAGCGTAGTGTCCGCCAATGGGATCCTGGCATATTCAGCCTGAACGCCTTCCATCGCGTTGCTTCCGTACACTCTGCTCTTGACGCATCTCGCCGTCTGCTTTCTCTCGCAAAAAAAGCAGGATCCGCAATTGATTGTAAAAGGCGACACCACCTTTTGACCGATTTTGAAGTTTTGTATGGACGAGCCTACAGAGTGAATCACACCTGTCAGCTCGTGTCCTAGCACAAAGTCGTACTTGGCCACGGGCTGACTGCGATCAAAGAGCGGGAGGGAGGAGGCGCGGCCACACGAATGTCAGCCTTTGACCTGATGCTTGCCAAGGCAAAGCTGACGACATGCTCCTTTGCTTCACTCACTGGCCTCTGTCTGAGGATCAAGGCAGCGCAAGGCAGCATGATGGGCCAAGACGCGCATGCAAAGATGACGCTCGAGTCAGCCGAGTATCAAACGCATGTTTGCACCTTTGCCTTACTGGCTGCAATCCAGCATCACGCGAAGCCTTGCTCGAAACTCACAAATGTGCAGATCGCTACCGCAAAGCGCAGCAGCTTCCACCTTGACCACCACCTCTTCAGCTTCTGGCACCGGGATTGGTCTGTCCTCCACCGCCACCTGGTATGGGGCCTTGATGACGAGGGCCCTCATGGTGCCTGCTGAGACAGGTGCAGCTGCACTTTGAGACATGGCCTGTTCTGGACAAATCCTTCCACGTTGTGTTTGGTCCGTTGTGTTGCAAGCAGAGCTCCAATCGCCTCCAACAGATCAATGTCTCACTCGAGATGATGATGGATGAGTAGAGCACCGTCCACCAGGCGGCTGAGCTGATGTGGCACGAGGATGCATGAACGCCTGGCCCGAGCCTCTGCGAGTCACGAATTTGAATGTCGTGTGTGCCCCACAAATTGCAGCCAGCCAGCCATTCGATTAACACTTGAATGTCGTGTGTGCCCCACAAATTGAGCCAGCCAGCCAGCCAGCCATTCAATTAACACTGCACGACTGTGACTTCCGGCAATTCCGGCGCCGCGCTGTGCTGTCTGCCTAAATGCGCTCGAGCCATCTCAACGGTGTCACGTGAAGCTTTGACTCAAACTGGCTGATTATTCATCAACATCACGCCACGCGACGAGCCAATTTATCTGAAGTTGTGATAACAATACGAGTAAGGCCTATTCTTGATTGGTAAGTCAGCAGATGTGATCGTTGTGCTCGACATTCATTAAAGCGCGTCAAATTTTGAATCTCCAAATCTCAAATTTCAAACGAGGATTTCTTGCTTGCTTACTTCTTCAATTTGAATCGTGAATGTGATTGTCTCTCGCTCTTGACTCCACATTTTACGTGTGCATCGGAAGAGGTATGCGCGAGCGAGAGGAGAGAACGCTGACCCATGCTGCATCGATCCTGGAGCGCGGCTGCGTTTCAGCTACAGCTGCTATTCAATCTTCATCCTCCATCACATCCTTCTCTCAATCACTAACCCAGACTCAGATCGATCATCATCGCACAATCCCCATTCGCCTGCTAGCTCACGTCTCTTGGCGGCCGCAAAAAAACGCTAATTGATTGCACGTCAAGGCACATCACCCGCTCCAAAGGTGGGCTTGACTTTTTCGTCCCATTTTATTTCGCCAACAGGGCATCACGGATACTTTCCTCACTGCTGCCAGCTTCAAGAGGCCCAAGGAGAGGTAACGAAGCAAGATGTCGGCTGGGAAACCTTCGCTTATGAGAGCGTTTGTTGGCGGTGCTTTGATTGTAGCGGGAGGATGGGGAATCATGGCAGGTGAGTATGGTGTGGCTCGGGGAGGTAGCTCCTTACAAGCTCGATGGCGTGGAAGCCCATCCATAAATCTGCATCACGCTCATCCACGCATATCGCGAATCCAATCGATCGCTCTATTCTCCTTTTTCGATGCGCTGCCTCTACTTCGCCTCATTGCCCACCCATGGCCCGGCCCTTTGAGTAGCGACCACGCCAAACGAACAGCAGTTCTACGACCAACTATCTCCGGAGCTCAAAGCTCGCGTAGATGCTCAACGAAACGCAGCCAGGCGAAAAGCAGCTTATGCCGAACAAGCGCACGTGAGTAGATAGCACACAGTTCAAAGGGGCCACATTTCAGTGAAGCGTCGCTCGTAGATCGAAAAGTGCAAGTCGCATCCGGTAGCTCTAGCTCCCAAAGGCCCATCGTCGTGTGCTGCTTATCTTATCCGCTCGGAATTGACCGCGACTACTTTCTCTTTTCAACTTTTCTCGTCCCACACCACAGAGAGCGCAAGATCAAGACGATTCACCTGTACAGTGGCAGACGGGCAAAGAGGCTCGCGATTCCACGCCTCCGCCTACCGGAGCGTTCGGTAAACCTTCTAGGTAGGGCATGAACGGGCATCAAGCTGAGATCGGGGCAAGCGGAATGGTGAGAGAATCGCCAGTGCGGGAAGTCGAACGTTGGATTCTTGGTATGATACGAGAGCGTCGTCAAGGGTCCCATTGGATCAATGACTTGAGCCCGCCACCGCCAGCAGCAATGACAACCAATATCTGATCGTCAAGGGATTGCTATCTCGGAGTGGTGCAGCCAAACGCGGATCATTTTGGTAGCTGCGCTAGGCCAGCTCAGTCCGGATGAGCGCCTAGACCTTCGCCACACTCACGAACGCCCTTATGGCTCGACGCTCAGCTTGTAGATTTTGATTCTTCGCTGCAGAGAGAGAAAGACAGCGAGAAGTATTGATGATGATACAGTGCGAGGGCGTATGGACCTCATAGGTCGAGGGCTTTAGTTTCGAAGAGATGAGGAAACGCCCCCGCACATCTTGCGACACTTGTAAAGTGGGTGGCGCTAATCGGACTGAGACGGGGTGCCAAGCTACTCGTCGAGCTCGCTCGCGATGCGCTGCTTGATCTTTCTGATGACGGCAGACAACAATGGTCCAACAAGGTGGTCCATAGCGTCGCAGACAAGCCCAGATTCCAAATGGATGACAGCTGGATCGGACGTGTGCCGTATCGTCGGCTTTGCAAACTTGACCTTTGGATCCGCTGTCGAGCCGTGTTGCTCAGCTTCAGCTGCTTCTGTAGTGCGCTTGCGTTGTCTGAATTCCCGCATCACTGCTTGAAGTATCTCAGGGAAGCTTGGAATCGGCTTCGAGACTGCGCCATCCAGTAGCGCCGCACTGTGGGAAGCACCATTTGACCGACGTCTTGCGGACGAGCTTTGGTCCTGCGGCTTTTCAATAGAGGAATTCTCCAGAAACTCCGACCCTGATCCGTGACCTTGCAGCTCCGTCGAAGGTTCTAATGGTGTTGCCCCATCGAGGATCAGCACTTTTGATCCCCGCAGCAATCGTACGTCGAGGACGAAGCTGCGAACGTGAATGGCAAAGCAATCAGCTAAGTGTGTGATTCGGAGAGTGACGTGGCTACTGACCTATCGATGAATGTCAAGCGTAGCCATGTAGCGGAACGTACGTCGGGCTCAGGCGCCAGCACGTCCTCAAGACATTGATCCATCATCGGAGCCACCACTCGTAGGTACGGCAGGGTGTCATGTAGAAGCTGTAAGGGGCGCGGTGTAGTCAGCATCAAGCTTGAATATTCGCGAGACAACGTCGTTTGACTTACCTGTAGAAAGCTCGGCCAGAAAGTTGGCGCACCATCGAAACGTCCATTGAGCATGCGGCTAAGCGAGTCAATGATCACCTCGTGTGGGTTCGGCTGAGAAGTGCCTGCGCTCGAGGCGAGTTGGAGTCTGTAGGAGCTTCCCCGTGGTGTTTGGGGGTCGTCCTGTAGGCTTACCGACGCTGTAAGGCCACCTTCGTATGCAAATACAACTTGTTGGAGGTCAAATGATCGTAGCTCGAGACCGTCAAGCTTGTCGGCCCTGCTAGCGCTCGCAACTTCTCGAGCAAGCGACATGATCCTTGATACTCGGTCCCATGCATTGAGAAAGAGCGCCACGCAGCCATCGATGCTTCGCGTAGAGAAAGTAAGCGCTGACTGCTGGCTCTCGAGCTCGAGCACATCGCCGGTTGCCTCGTTGAGCACCAACTTGCGGCTGCTCGTGCTAAGTGACCGTCGAAGTCGTACTGTGAACTTGACGGAGCAACTTAATGGATCGCTCCAGTCTCGTAGCTCGATGGAGACATTGCGTCTGACCAGGCTTGAGGAAGCACCCAGGAGATGGTCTGCCCGGACACACAAGCTCGGAACCATGCTGGCGTGCGTTGAATCTTTCGCGACGTCTTGCCGTGTCAAATGCAGGGCGACCGCCCTTGCTGGAGGCGACGAGATTTCGCTCGCTGAGCCCACATGCACAAAGGGCAAGCCACGCACGCGCAGCTGCTGCTCAATCTGATGGTAGCAGACGAGTGCAACGCTGTAGTGGTGCAAGAGAGAAAGCTCTTCCAGAGAAAGTTCCGAGCTGAAATTTCGCAGACTCATGTCAGCTGGTTCACAAAAATTGAAAGGATGGCAGCCCTTCGGATGAGCTCACCTTGGTTCCCCACCGGTCTCGACTTCTTCCCGTTTTCTCTTGCCCAGCGCACCGCCCTTGGCGAGCCGATCGCGATCCAGCCACTCCACCGAGTGAACACCCAGCACCGTGTTGAAGCCATCTAAGAACGCAGTGGTGCACATCAACCCTACTTTGACGGAATCGTCGCCTATCCGCAGCACGACGTAGTAATTTGGACATTGGGGCAAGGGAAGGAACAACAATGACGTTTCAGGACCAAGTCTAGTATACTCAGTGCTTCGAATTGGCAGTCGTCGGGTGCAATGAAGCCCCAGAAATGATGCTTTCTGTTCAAATCCTTCCAAAATGGCGAGTGCCCTTTGTTGCTGCAGTATCTCGACCAGTAAAGTCGGATCATCATTGAGCTGCGTGGAAGCTTCTTTGAGTCGGTGAAACATGCCGTCGTTTGATGGCGTCGAGGCGACAGCTTCAGTCGACGCAGCAGTAGAGTGTTCAAGCTGAATCCGACCCGACATGGTGTCGATGCGCAGGACAACCAGCAGCCTTGGATGCAGTGGCAGACGAAGCAGGTGACACGAGCGGCCCCCTTCGTCAGTGACTGTGGACGAACATGCGGGTGATTCGACAGCGGCGCGCAGCGAGCTTGCTGATAGCCTTGCACGCAGCTCTGCAACAGCCGCCGCCGCATGCAAAGAGACCGCGTGGCGAAGGAGCTTCTCGATGTCGAGGTCGAGGGCGTTCTGACCATGATAGAGATGTTCATCAGCATGTGTGTCGAAACGCACCAGCGTCTCGATACTCACTACGACAAGCTGCGTGTCTTCCATGTGTTCTCGGAGTGCAGGATCAAGCGCCCACTCAACCACCAGGTCTTGCTGTTTCAGTTTTTGTCCTGGTACCGCTTCAATCGCTGAAAGATCCTTGCAAAGGGCCCTGTCAAGCGCCACAAGCTTTGCAGGTCTGCGCGAGCGGTCCACAGCCCTAATCTTGATACTGGCCCCAGCAAGCGGATCAAGCACAGGCTTCGCAGCTTTAGCGGAGCCCCTGCTCGCCGTGCCTGCACGTTCCGATCGGTTCTTGCGCCAGTAAGAGACCGTTAAGGTTCTCGGGTCGCCAGCTTTGAGAATGGGCTCGAAGCCTGCAGAGACCGTTGGAGCCCAGCCCACTCGAGCTAGTTCAACCGCTTGATAATGCAGAATGTCAAGCTGATACTCTAGCGCTTGGCTCTCTGCTCACCGAAAGCATCAGATTCAGTCAGGTGACGCAAGCCTCGGGCTGTATAGACAACTCACGAAGGAAGTTGTACGCCCTGACAAGCGGGGCATCCCGTCTCTGGCACTCGTCTCGCTGCTCGCCTGGCGCTGGATGGGTCGCCTCGAATTGTTCAGCATCTCTACCTCCTGCGACGGCGGCCGCGGCGACGGCGGCTCCATCCTCTTCCGAAGCGAGAGCGACAGAGCGGGGGGCGAGCTCAAAGTCTGCTTGCGAGATCAGAATTGTACGAGCCCGCTTTCTCGGCCGTCTTGGGAATACTGGTGTGTCACAGAGCAGCAAAGCTCGTCAGCATCTGGCATGAGCGTTTCGAGGTTAGTCCTGAGTGCAGCACTCACAGTCTGCGCCCACACCAGTGATGCGAAAATCGAATTTGGCGGAGAGGAGGAACCAGCGATCCTCTGGTGAATTTCCAGACAGCGTCATGGAAGCAGCAAAGAGTTTGGCCACCTCGAAAGTCACTCGACCATCCTCTGCGGGCAGAGAGTCATGGTGGGACTACCCGTCAGCTTTAGGATGAATGCGCAGGAAAGACGATACCACCCACCGATGGAGTAGCAAGTGAGCGGCGAAGGCACAACTTCGGATAATGTCAGCCTTGTTCTCAGCGCAGCGTCCATGTCCGAGATGACGTCCAAAGCTTGGCGATCTGTAAGCTCGCGAGGCGGGACGATGTAGTCTTTGATGTGTGAAGGCAGCCTTTGATATTTGCCGGTCCCAAGAATATCTGTGGCGGAGACAAGATCCGCTTTGCGAAGGCTACACGAGGCGAATCATGAAGCAGGTTGAGCAGCTGCGGACATCTGCCATCAAGTGTGCATCCTCCATCAACTTACCGAGCTCCGGGTAATTCGCTCTGCATCTTTCGAAGAGCATCAGTAGCATCATTTGCTTGTATCGTATGGGCTCGCAAAAGCCCCACGAGATTCTGGGTATGAGGAAGGAGACGCCCGAGCATGAGACATGTTCTTGCTCAGCAGGTCAGGTTGCGAACTCACTCTGGCCATCATTAAATCCGGCGCAGCTCGACTCCACCGAACAAGGACGAGTAGCTTGACAAGCTGCCTTCTGACATCCAAAGCGGTGTCGAAAATCTTGCTTTTGCGTTCCGACGAGGACAGTGATGGGAGACTGCAAAGCATCGGTGGAATTAGCCGCGTCAGCGCCGAACATCGCTCTCATGCCAAGTCCCGTCTGCGCTTTTCACAAGCTTGCGACTACTTCTTTTGCTCCGGCCGGTGTTGGAGTCAGGTTCACAGAGCAGCATTGCTCAAGTGAGCCTATCTAACACCCTAGCTGACGCCAGACTCGAGAATAGCCTGGCGGAACCATGAAAGCATCTCCACGCTTTTGCGACTCGACTTCGTGCATCTCTATGTGCATCTCTCGCGCCGGTCTGCTGAGACTCTCCAACAACTGCGAACTCACGTCTCCGCCAAGTTGCCAAAGCTTTCGAACCCATAATTCGCCAGTCGAGCGACGATGGCACCCAGCGGAACGAGACCATCTGTCTCTTCAAGTAGCTCTTGCTGCAGAGCTTCGACGCTCACGCCAGGCTGCTCCCTTAACCTCGCTTTCTTTCGCGCTCTCTCGCTCCGGAGCAGGTGCTGGCCGAATTGGGTCGGATGATCCTTGCTGAGGACATGAAGATCGGTGCTCTCATCGGAAGCGCCCAGAGGCACCGCACTTGTGCTCGCTTCCGGGCTGGCCAGCTCTCTTTGCTCCGCTGAGCCTCTCTGCGGCGCGCACGAGGCAGCTTCGCGATCCTGAAGGCTACCGTTCCTGATATACGTGCGGTCATCCTGCCGATCAGGAACATGTGCTCCAGTACCTGCCACTGGCCGCGCAAGAGTCGTCTGCATATCCGGAGGTGGGTATGGCAATCCGGGCTTGATGGGCTGTCCAGCAGATCGAGGCGCGGAAGAGCCATATGATTTCGTACCGGGGGCGAGATCTCCCATCGACCTTGCGCCTTTCATGGCGAGGACAGCTAAGCCCAGAAGGCCGGCTACAAAGACGGCTCTGCGCAATCAAGTGCCAGCTCTCTGTCTGTCAAAGGGCGAAGGTACCTGCGCTAGTGTGACAGCGTCGAGCCGAAGATCTCTCCCTGCGCTTTCCTCCGCCCGATGGCTTGACCCCCCACGTTCTTTTGCAGCCCTGTTCGGCAATGCATGCAAAGGTAGCAGAAGCAAAGAAGAGGAGCGGCTAAAAGTTTCGAAGGTGTCCAAGGGGAGTCGGAGATGATTGCGTTCGGCGTCTAGCACCGGGCTGAAGCTGCTTCACTGGCTTGTCTTGGTCTTGCACATGCGCTCTTGCCGAGCTTCCAAGCTTCACAGACCTCGCTCGCGAGGTGACAAATGGTTGTTGTGTCGAGTAAATGTTGAGCTTTCGGGGTGTAATTGGGGGATGGGCTCAGGTCCGCTGAAGATAGGATTCCGGGCGATTGTCATTCGACGACGCTTGCAATGACGAAGAGCTTCAGCTCACGAATACCAGCGAATGCTGATCGTTTAAATTGATGCCTGGTTGTTCGTGGTGTCCGCGCTTGACAAGTGACAGGCACAGGGAGGACGTACCTGCCTTCGTTAGCTGTACAAAAGATGCAAGAGCATCGCCAAGCTCTGTCTGCGTCAAAAGCGATGGCAGGTCGAAAGTAGCAGGAATCGATTCAGGTTGATTGATGCGCGCTCACACGCTGCTTCCACACGCCCGTCGTCACATCCCATTCATTCACGATTGATTCGTCGATCGATGATGATGCGCGCGCTAAGTCGCGAGCCCTTCGACGATGAACACCACGTGACCTCTGCGATTCGCCGGTGCATCACGTGAACCAGCCGGGCCGGGTACCGACCGGTGCGGGGGAGAGCTGAATCGAGGGACACGGCCGGCCAGCGGATGGATGCCTTTAACGTCGGGAAGGCACATCGCACTCCACTCAAGACTCGACCGACCGACCATTTACAGTCTTGAGTACATGTTCCACCGGCGAGTACTCTAGCATCCACGATTGTAAGAGAACGCTTTGACCATCATCCAAAGCTGCATACCCCAAACAGCGCACACAAGATGAAGGCCTACATCATGGACGAGGACATCAAGGATCTATCCGAGCTTCCCTCTAAGCTGCGGGCTGATGCCGAAGCTCCAGAGGTGGATGCTGATGGCACGGCAGTGCTTGTGGACGTCTATGCTGCTTCGTGAGTTCTCAAGCGGCGCGTGGGGATGCGGGGCGATTGGGCGCATACAGGCTAACGTTTTGGAATCTGGCGTCTGCGCCACAGCTTGAACCTCTTCGACCAGCTCCAAGTTCGCGGCAAATACCAGATGAAGAAGCCCTTTCCCTACATTCCAGGTGCAGAGATTGCAGGAGTCATTGCCAGCAACTCGCCGATTCCTGAAGGCTGCAATTGGGTCGCTGGAAAGACCAGAGTCTTTGGATCGGCCAATGGATCGTACGCGGAGCGTGAGTAAGTCGCCCTTTCGGTCCTGTCCGACTTGCTTTCATTTTGGCAGCTCCACTCAATCGATCAAGCTGGATGCCTATGTTCTCGTAGAGGTCGAGGCGGAAATCTCCCAGCTTCAAGAAATTCCTGATGGCATGACGTTCGAAGAGGTGAGTGCGGTCAGGCGGCCCCGATGTCCTTTCAGTCCTAGGCACTTCGAATGCACGCTGAGGCACGTTACTTTTCTCTGGTCAGGCTTCAGGACTCTACGTCACATGGCCAACTTCGTACGCTGCGCTACATTTCAGGGCAAAGGTTCAGCCAGGTGAATGGGTGTTAGTGCATGCCGGCGCAGGCGGAGTTGGCCTTTGCGCAATACAAATCGCCAAGGCGATGGGTGCTAAGTGAGTTCGGATCATGCTAGCGTATTAGCGAGACTAGAGCCGGTCATCGCTGACCTAACACTCTGTTGTACTCCATGTTGAATCTAACAGAGTCATTGCAACGGCAGGAAGCGAGGAGAAGCTCAAAGTCTGCACCGAAATTGGCGGAGCGGACCATGCTGTCAATTACCGAGACAAGGAGTGGCAGAACAAGGTCAAAGGTGCGATTTGAAAGCAGGAGACACACTAGAGCTGAGGGCTGAAATCGCTGCTGAGCCTATGCATGCCCTCTTGATTCGCTTCCGACCAACTGCAGAGATCACCGATTCGCACGGAGTTGATGTGGTGTACGACCCTGTGGGCATGATCCTCCCATCACTGAAGGTGATCGCATGGAATGGCCGGCTTGTTGTAATTGGCTTCGCAGCAGGCGACATCGAAAAGGTTCCCATGAACTTACCTCTACTGAAGCAATGCTCCATCATGGGTCTGTTCTGGGGTCGGATGACCGTGGAACAGCCAGAACTGGTCCCCGAGACCTGGAATGGCATTCTGGAGCTGTTGAAGAGCAAAAAAGCAAAAGCCGTCGTCTACTCGCACATCTACGAAGGTCTGGAGAGCTTGACCCAAGCTTTGCAGGACCTAATGGCACGAAAGACTTGGGGCAAGGCCGTGGTCAGGGTTAGAAAGGACGGCAAAGAGAAGCTCTGAAAGGTCGCATCTCATCATCCAAGCCGTGACGAAAGCAAGACCTTCGAATGAGCGGGGCACCACCAGGTGGATCATGCACGCATGCCTCTTAACGAATCATTGATTTAGCCTATCGCTTGAGAACCGAGGCGAGGTTCTGACAGGATTTCTTGGCGAAATGTGGGTATATGGCCAGATACAGATGCTGCTGCAAGACATGCTATCGTTCCGTGTCTGTTTGTGCTGGTGTACAAAGTAGATGTCATGTGATGTGCTGAGTGTGTGAAACGAATGTATGATAGTTGGTGTAGGGAATGAGATGGAGCAGAGGAAGATGAAGAGCTGAGGCGCATCCCCGGTCCATCGAATACATGACGTGAAGCATTCAAGTATTGTCAAGCAGCGAGCGCAAGCTGGCTATCCTGCTTTCGACGCCTTTCAAGTCCGACTCAAGCTCGGCATGCCTTTGAGACATGGTTGAGATCAGTGTCACTTCGCTCGAGGCGCGTCTTGAGCCGACGTTGCCCTGATTGAGCAACGATGACTTGACGGGTCGAAGGGAAACTTGAGAAGCGCGCTTGTCGAGTTCTGAAGGGCGTTTGGCGAATTGAATCTCGGCCGAGGTCTGTCGACTGCGGCTTTGAGGAGGTCTTGAGCTGGACGCTTTTGCGGTACCCTTCGCACACTGCTCCTCCGCTGACACTTGCCTCGTGCGACTCCTAGGAGGCTTATTCTCGTCTGTCTGAGTCGACAGGATCGAGCTGGAATGACGGCCCAGGAGCTGGTGATGCAAAGGTCGCCGAGGGAGTTGTGTCTGTTCAGCTTGACGGGTTTTGAGCAACGCGGGCGCGTTCGAAGATCTGGGATTCGGGGGCCGCATAGGCTGCATGGATGCTCTACGAAGAGCCTTTGCATCAGAAGCTGGACGAAGACTTTGATCATGCGTCACCGCAGTAGGTGCGAGGCTTGGCATACTAGGGCTGCTGCCAGGCATCGCAGTGCCAGACGCTGAAGGCACCATCAACTTGGAGGGCAGAGGCTGGCCTAACTCCAAGCTGTCATCTACATCATCTGGCGACCTCCGTTGCCGAAATTCTGCTAGCATCTGGCTACTGTCTCGTCGGCGCATGAGCTGGGGTCTATCTCGTTCGCGCAGCTCTGAGCATCTCGGGTCCAGAATGCTGCTTCGTCTAGCACCGATCACGGGCGGCTGCATTGCGCCAAGAAGAGGTGCGGTTCGGAGCGGCGCATCCTGCGCAGCATGCACCGACGCAAGACTGCAACTGCTCCCAGTCCTTTCTCTGGCGCTCATGGGCATTTGGCCTCGCTCGAGAGAGGCCGAATGCGCGAGAGCTGCCGATCTTAGCGGTCCACTGATGGGTGCCGAAGTTGGGTCGATATTGAGGTTGGACAAGTTGGCAATCAGCAGCGGACTCGAGCAGCGCGAGTCTTTCGTGGGCGTGGTTCTCTCTTGTGCTTGCAACAAGACCTGGCGAGCGCTTCGACGCTTCTGAAGCCTTGCTTGGTTATGTGCTGGGATTTCGAGCGAAGCGGAGGTGTTGACGGCCGCATCACGCAGCTCAATGGGAAGCACGCGCAACGGGTCCATGCCAGGCATCTCGTTCTTCTGCTGTTGTGTCCCAGCTTGTGCGAGCATGGGAGACTCCGGCTCGGAGTCGGAGAAGGTAGCAGACCTCGAGTCATTGGTCTGTGCTCCGATTTGCGCTACTTTTGACATCAGCGTATCCAAAGCACTGCGTGTTGGTCTCGGAACTTTGTAGCCATCCCGATCAACTTCAGATGCCTGCGAAGCTTGAACGGATGGACCGCAGGCCGTGGCCTCGCTCGCGCTAGTAGTGGAGCGCGTCCTAGCTACGCGACGCGACGCAGGAACGATCCCACCTCGGCTGCTTCGCTTGCCGGATTGGAGTACACTGAAAGATCTCTTGGGACGCTGCAGACCCTCATCTAGGGTAGCCGCGCGTTTGGGCTTCCTGGCGCTTCCAGCAGCCAACCACATTTCATTCCAAGCCTCCTGCTCGCTCATGTTGCGGCGCGCGTTGCTACCTCCTGAAGTCTGCGACTCGGTCCCGTGCGCATCTACGCCTGGCGTCCTCATCACGAAGTAGCTGCCTGAGCCAGTTCGATGAGCCACTGTGCTAGGTCTGAAAGCAGATGCAATCGGGAAGGGGTACGGGGAGACGGGCGGTGCTGCCGAATGTGTGCCAGAGAGTAAATGATCATTGTGACCGTGTTGCGCGCGCGCCTCTTGCTGGAATCTGCTGCCAAAGCTGGGCATCGAGGTTTTCCGCATGGGTGTCACGAAGGCGCCCGGTGCGTTCGACGGCAGCAACTGTCCGTACTTCCCTACGCTCGCGACTCGTGAAGCTGTCTCAAGGGCATGGCGGTGAAGTGAATGCTGTCCGTGCGGCTGCCACGGCGTAGATGCAAGATGCCCCTCAGACTTCTTGCCGTGTCGTAAATATGGCGTGGAAGTGGACTGGCTGCTTGAAGCTGGTTTCGACTCCCTGGTGGGTTCTGACGGCGAGCTCATCACTTCGAGCTGATCCGAAATTCGTACCCGAGTCTGACGACGCACTTCGCCAAGCATCTCTTCGTCTCTTTTGTGCATGGCCTCCGCCGAGGCGAAAGCGTTGATCTCTGGCAGCATTGATAGACCAACAAAATACGTGTCTACATCTGACCAGGCAGCATCCGCACGTGTGTCGCGCTGGCTTATGCGTCTTGCTAGAGCGGCAGAGGCTGGAGATGACACGACAGCGGTCTGAGACTCGTTGACGCCAGTATCGTCCTCTGTAGGCCAGCTGCCCTCAGCAGCTTTCTCCCACGCGTCTGCTGCGCTCGAAGAGCCGCATTCTACAGAATCAAGATGCGGAAGGTGATGTATGCCAGCAAAGTGCTGACTCACGTTGAAGCTGCTGACCGATGGCGACATCAAGCTCTCCGACTGCACGTGACGGTCAGGACCGCGAGGGCTGTGGATTACAGAAACGGCTTGATCGCCCGATTCGTTCTCCGCCGCGAGCTTGGGTGTGAACGGTGAGGGGTGCGAGTACGGCTTTGACCAATTTGTACCTTTGAATGCAGGATGCTGCATGACTTCTTCTGAGCTGTTCAGCCCTAATCTCTCGCTGTCCAGTGCTACTAGACCTCGCATGAGGCTCTTGAGCTCGGACCCGCGGGGTAGGCTCTCATCCAATCTGAAGTGTTGGTGGAAGTTAAGCTTCTGCTCCACGACTTGGGCAGGCGTCCCGACAAAAGGCAGGTAGCGGTACGTCATCTCGTACAATACCAAGCCTATGCCCCACCAATCGATGCTCGGACCATAGTCTCCCTCCGCAGATGGAAACGCAGTGTCCGAGACAACGTCATGCCGGACAGATGCAGGGCTCTGCCAATCATAGGATGGCGAGCCGAAGGAGTCTTCCGCTCTCCGTGCCGCCTCGGCCAGCTCAGCTGCTTCGGCCCTTTGAAGTCGTAGATGAAGCAGCTCAGGAGCCAAGTAATCTGATGTGCCAGTGATAACGTTGTGAGAGCGGTGGACCAGTCGCTTCCTGGTGGGACCATAGGGGGAGAAGGGGGCCGCAACACCAAAGTCACAGAGCTTGAGGTGACCTGAATCTGCGATCAGCCAATTCGCAGGCTTGATATCGCTGTACAGAGTGAAGCAATACCCTCAAAATCAGCTGCGAGCGCTTCGCGTGAGTGTGACTGGCTGCTTACCGATGCATGAAACCTTCCGAATGGAGCCAGCTGACGGCAGCGACCATGTCTCTGCCCCAAGCCAGGGTGTGATGCTCGTGTATGCGCCCCTTTTCGTCCGACATTTCGTTCAAGCACTTTGCTTCCCCAGCGCTGCTTAGCAACATGTCCAGATCTCCCGCTGCAAAGTACTCCATCGCAATGAAGACGTCCGATCGACTGCACCATGCCGCATGTATGCGGGGCGTTGGTAGCTCGCCCTCGAATTCGGACGATGACGACCCGGCATAGGTGCGAGCGAGGCTGAGGATGTGGCGCTCCAAAGAAGGAGAGAGGTTGGAAGTGCGGAAAGATGCAACCACTGTCCTCTTGACTGCAGATTTGACGACGTATAGCTTCCTGTCGAATCGCGATCGCGTAACCTCGCAGAAACCGCCACCACCTCGACTCAAGCTCCTTGCCAGAGCGGTCTCGCTGGCAAAATTCCTCTCTTGAATGGTCGTCGCTGCCAGCTCCCTCAAGAGAGGCATCGCTCTTCTACGTACCACATTAGTGTCTGAGGCAGCACTGGCGCTAGTCCCCTCCACTGGCCAGTACGCTGCCAAAGCGAGATCCAAATCCTCAGAGGGGTCATCGGGCGAGGGGACGGCAAGCTGCTTGCCGTCGGCTCGGAGCGCGCGTCGAAGGCATCGCACCACATCCAAGATTGGGGCACTTGCTAGCAGCTCCTCTACCCTAGATCTTCTCTCGCTCCAGTTTGCGCGTGGGGAGCTCTTTGAGCCAAGTGCTGGAGGATCGATTGTCATTCCGAAGGGGATTGAGCCAGGATCAACCCATCCATTTCACGCAAGTCCCAGAGGCCGCGAGGAAGCGCAAAAGAAGTCAGGCCTAGTACTGTGTGCGTAGTATGCGCATACACCGAGCGCCGTCTCTTGTGGGGTGGAAGCGTAGCAGGTGTTGCCGAAAGCCGCTGGTGATGGAACGGAGGCGTTAGTGGAGCAAGACGAGACTACGAGGATGACATGTGTTGAGGATCTGAGAAGGAGATTGTTGATGGTGAACGAGGAGAATGTCGGTGAGGTTGAGCCTTGATCCTGGAACGGGCAAGTGCTGGCCTTCAAAGCAAGAGGAAGCCTACCAGGGTGTGGACCGCCAAGCATGAGCAAGCAAGCCACGGGCGTTGTATACTGTAGTTCGAGTCGAGTTCAGCGAGCATGTTGATCGACATCTACGTTTCCCGCTCCTCAGCTCGTTACACGCGCATGCAGGGCGGTGCATGCATGGTGATGCATCACTTACGCATGCAGCAGCAAGACCAACACCCACACCCGTCACGTGATTTGTGTGGAGGGAAGCGCGCGCGCCGCGCTCACATGCATCAATGTTGAATCAGCACGTTGTGCTGGGCAGCGGTGGCATAGCGTAGATTCAACAGCAGGCACCACTCATGCACTCGATCAAGGCGGTAGGCATATGTGCGGCAGATGATGTAGGCAAGCAGGCATCAAAGCAGCAGCTAGCGGAGCACGCATGCACGGGGCAGCGGAATCCACTTGGACCGCACCTGCAGTCACAGTGACTGGTCGTTTGCCCCACACCCGGGTTGTATAGGCATGCGTGTTGGAGTGCGCGTGACCGGCAGCAGCGAGCGTGACTTACCGATGAGAGCATGTGCTGCCGTTGCGACTCTTCATCTACTCTGGCCATAGGACAGTCTGATGGGTGTGCTTTGGGACACTGCTAGTGGTAGTCTGAGCAGGTTCGAGTATAGTGGTGTGAGTGAGAGCTGTGTCCAGCGCAGCTCGGAGAGAATGAGGCGCAGAGACAGTCGTGGTGAGTGAGTGCACGAGCCCCTTTGCAACCAGCACCGGCTCCATACAGTGAGTGTATGCTAAGTAGCTCGCGTTGCAGCAGCGATCGAGTATAGCTGCCAATTTGGGAGCCATGAAAGTGAGGCTGTGTACAACAGTAGTAAGTGTTCGATGAGTCTGTGAGTTATCGAGGAGCACTCACGATCGTGACTCTTGAACTCATCTCATCCCGCCCGACTTGACTCAGCACAACCTCATCTCTCACTATTCGACTGCGGTCTACACACCTGTGCCGCAGGATCTTGTGCTACAACTCAGATAGGCACTCTCAATTGAAGCAATCCGTTGGGGATATCCAAACATGAGTGAGTGCATTCGTAGAAGCTGTGACTGCGTCCAGGTTCGAGGGCCTGCTGGTGTATACGCACCAAGCTGATATTGTCCAACTTGCACACGCATCACTCCTCAGCATCCAACCCTAACCACCACGCCGAAGAAGCTTCCAAGCTCGAGAAGCTGCTGCAAGGTCGCAGCGATGTTGTGAGTGACGTGACTGCAGTTCAAAGTCTATAAGAGTGCCTTGGCACAAGGAGACGCGGCCCTCCCACCATTGGAGCGATCGTGAATCGTGCTCACACCGTACACTTCCTTGCTACACCCTCGCAGAAAGAGCTGCAAGAAAAGGGTATCCTCAAGAACTCCACTGCCGCTCCCGCCTTGCAAGCTGCGCAGGTGAGTGACATGGCTCGACTGCAAGCCAAGGGCCAGCCGGAAAGTGCTTTGACCTACCGATATTGCGGTATTGCAGACTCGCATTGACGCTTCCTACTTTGCCCCTTTCGAACATGACCGCTCTGAGCACAGGCGGAGCTGATCAAGCACCAGCTGGAGGATCGTCTGGAGGGCAAGTTGGAGAGGCGCCCCGATCGCGCAGAGCTGGAGAGACTCGGCATTCTCAAGGATGATTCGGAGGATGCTTCGGTGACGCAGGCAAAGAAGGAAGAGTTGGAGAAGCAGCTCAAAGCTGATGGAATCCTCAAGTAGAGAGGGAGAGGCTGCTGGTGATCTTGGCCAATCCCTCCTGTGAGGTATTGTCGCCCACCTTCAGACCAGGACATTGTGTATCGTCATTACTCATGACAACGGCATGTATGCACGTATCGACGCATGCCAATTCCGCGCTTCAGAGTCGTGAATGTCGATGCTTCAAGCGTTGTTTTGTTACTCAGCTATTGATTGCGTTTCATTCAAAAGTCAAATTGGGGGGTAACAGAACAGCGGACCTAAGGTCATGAGCATGCAAGGGCAGGGAACATGTCAGGTAGCACGATGGCTTCGAGTTCGCGCGAGAGTCTTTTGAGGTCACATGTGCACATTTCTAGGGTCTCTGAGGTGAGAAGTGCCTCAAAAGTCGTCTCTTGATCTTTCTGTGGAAGTCTCAATGACCAAACGGCGAGGCGCCGATGCCACCGACCCAAGTACCTTCGCCAAGACCAGAGCTAGCACTCTCGTGGGGGCCAACTGATGGAACGGCCGGAGGCGCATTCAATCCGCCACGAGAGGGGTTGCTGGCCCTGTAGCTTGGGCTCGCACCTCGAGTAGCACGACTCGCGCCAGCACCGTAGTGATCATGCGCATGTCGCGCCATGATGCCAGCTAGAGGTCCTACAAGACGCTTGAAAGCAGACTCCGACAAAGTGGCCAGACGCAATGCGGGAGACGAAGCGACAATTGAGGCGGCTCTGGGTGCGTTGTTGAGCAGGGCGAGTTCTGGTCGGAACCGATAAGGGGCAAGAAGAGGTCAACACTGTGTTCAGGCACCAGAAAGGCTCATCTTTTGCAATCTCACCCCCGAAATAGTCTCCTTCAGCAAGCTTGCCTATTGCTTCCTCCACACCATCCTGCTCGCGCCTCTTTTGAACCTCGGCGTGGCCATCGAGGATGATGAAGAACTCGGTGCCACGTTCGCCCTGCTCGATTACCCGAGTACCTGCTGGCACTTCGCGTTGCTCGAGCGCATCGGCAATCTTTGCGCGCTCGGCGTCGGACAGCGTTTCGAACAAGCTGACCTTTCTCAAGTGCGACTCGAAGAGTGCTCGACGACGGCTGTTGGCACCGATGACGATGGAGCGGAATGTGATGCGGTCTAGTGCCCAGACGATTGAAGGCTCGGTGCTCACGACACTGGCAGCGCGTGGTTGGGCATAGAGCAGCGCGAGCTCTCCGAAGTAGGAAGAGGGCCCGCACACAGCCTTCTTATCGCCCAGATCGAGGGTGTCTCCGGCACGTCTACCTCCATTCGCAGAATCGTCGTCGGAACCACCGGCGCTCGACGCTGCGCCTGTAGGCTTGATGTAGATCTCAAAGGAGCCAGACTCCACAATGTAGAAGTAGTCGCCTTGATCGCCCTGTTTGATGATGCATTCGTGCGCAGGCACGCGAACTTCCTTCATCGCATTGACAACGTCTTGTTCTTGCTCCAAGTCGAGGGAATTGAAGAGCAAGTTGCCTTTAATAGAAGCGCGAATGCGCTCCAGCTGCAAGGGAGTCTTAGGGATGACTGTCTTTGGTGCGGGGGCCTCATTACCCGCGCTTGAAAGAGGCGCAAGGGACTCGGCACTGACAGAGGTTCGACGACCAAGGTTGTACGTTGCGGAAGGAGCAGAGAATGGCTGAAGGGTATCATCATCTTCCGACGAAGCTGTGGTTTGAGCAAGCGATACGATGGACCCATCGCGCGAAGGTGCCTGCAAAGAAAATGCGGGTCCAGCACTGGAGCTAGCACCAAAGGGATTGGCGTTTGAGAAAGGACCACCGGCAGAAGTCATCGTCACGTCTTCTGGACCGCCGGCAGTGGAGGCAAGAGGCGAAGCAGCGTCTACAGCACCTGCTGCTGCTGTGCCATCTGCACCACGAGCTAAGGTAGCCTTGCGCTCATTCTCCAGTCGCTGATTGAACCAGTTGGCGCAAAATTGAAGGGGGTCGAGCGGCCTGAAACGCACCACGTCGCGATTAAGATCGTTCAGGATTTGCGCGTAAGAGTTCGGCAGCGCCATCTTGAGGGTGATGGGCGGGTCAGGACGCTGAAACGTTGCGACGAGAGGTAAGGGACCGGAGGGCAGTCTGGTCTTGGGGAATCTACTGGTGTATGTACCGCTTGGTCGGTGGAGTAGAAAGAGTGGTCAGTCAGATTGGCATTCAACTGGATGATCAGCAGGCGCGAGATGGCGCGAGATGTATCTGGACGGCCCTGGTTGAACTCACTCGATCTTGGCTCAAGACTCTTGACTCGAGCTGGTGGTCCAAGCGCTATACACGCGCATTCCCAGTAGTCACGAGTCGTGAATTGCCTCGATCCCGTGCGGTGCTGCTTGCTGATGCCGCTTGTGGCTGATGTTGCACGATGAGCCAGCCCATGCATGGCAG